GAAATCCAATCTCTGTGTGGACCAGATTATTTGGGGAAGGGGGCTTCATGGAGGAGATGGCGCTGTTTCCTGTCAGGAGTGACAGCAAGAGACTGTTGTGTTGGGTTGGCCTGGGCGTCCCTGGCCTCACACGGTGCCAGGAGCACTCAGCAGACATGGTTCAAGTGCGTGAATGACATTGTCCCTGTAGGGACTGTGGGTCATAGACCATAGACTCAGAGAGAAGGAAGAAGAACTGCAGGGGGGTTCAGGGCTGGGCGTTAAGGAGCGATGTCCTGGCAGTGAGAGAAGAAGGTCACTGGCTGCAAAAAGGGAAGGGAGGGCATGGTGTGGATCAGACCAGGGAGCCTAAGGCCTGGGGAGCCAGGGGAAGGTTTGGAGCAAGATGTGACTACATAGTGGGCGAGGTGGTGTGAGAGGTGGACCGGGTCAGCGAGTCCTCCATCCCGGGGAGACACTCAGCCTGTGTGAAATGGCAGAGTCCCAGTCATTTCACTCCCACGGTTCCCATTGCCACCTGACTGGCACATGGAGATGGGAACGGGGCAGTGACGGAAGGCTGGGCGAGGCGTCGCCAGGGGGCCGGGCGGTAGGCGTGAGGAGGGGAAGGTGCAGAACGCAGGTGAGCCTTGTGGTCTGCAAGCTAGAAGGGCGGGAGCCTGACTCAGTGAGCGGGGGCAAAGGTTAAGGGTATCTTGGATGTGTTCGGTTTGAGGTGCTGAGGAAGGTGCCGAGCTGGTGGTTGCGAAAATGGATCTCAGTCTGGAAGGCCAGGTTTTGAAACGGCTGAATAAAGGCAGCTGAGGGCTTAGAGAGCAAGATGCAGGAAGCCATTAGCAGTAGAGGGATGCGGCTTGCTAAGCAAGCAGGGCTTGTGTGGAACCAGCCGGGCATTCTCGTTGGGATGACTGTGTACTCGTGCATGTGTACGTGTGTACCGCTGCCGTCCTCCCTCCTCGACACCTCCGGGGATGCCTTCTCAGGTGGGAAGGCCTGGCTGATATTCAAGGACAGCTTCTAAAGCAGAGGGAAGGAAGATAATTGGGCTAAGATGGGGCCCTTACAAACATGCCTCCGGGGATGGGCGGCTTTGCACCCAGTGTCGAGCTTTCAGATTGTGAAGTACTTCTTTATAGCCTTGCTTGCTTGCCTTGCCTCCCGCTGTATCTTTACCTGATGCAATCTTCAACTAGACTTTCAAAATTGGTGATTTTTCCTCATTGGCGACAGCCCCAGACTGTCACATTGTGGAATTTTTGCAAGTCATTCCCAGATGCTGCAAATGTGAAATGTCGTGCAGACACAAGACTGGGAGACCTGCCCTGGTGCTCCTGCACCAGCCTTTCTTTCCACCAGCCCCCTGGCTGAAGCAAGGCCGGTCCCCACCTCCCTGCACCTTGATTTGCCCTTTTGGAAGTGGCTCATCATCACTCTCAGGGCTCGAGCCCTGCCGGGGATGAGATGAGTTCTGAGTAGGACAAGTCTAGAAGGTTCTGTGAATTCCTTGGAGGAAGGCCTGGCTGGAGATCTGGGTGAATTCTTATCTCTGGGAAGAGAGATAGCATTCAGACTTTAATTTTAATTTGAAAATGTGCCAGATGCATTACCAGCTTCTGGGCTGTTGGTCGTAATGTATAACCAGCAAGTCTAGAGAGCCCTTTGTGAGAAAAGAAAGAAAAATGTGTCTATGTTTCAGTGTTTCACATCTTCTCTTCTCTTTTGGAGTTGAACTTCTGAGGAAAAAAAAAAAAACCTAACACTTGTGGTTATGGAAGAGATTCCACAGCAGTGAAGTAAGGAGGGAAGTTCTGTGTGTCTGTGTGTGTTTTCCTGCACAGAAGTCTCTGAGCGGCCTATGGGAGCTCGTTAGCTAGCAGGGAGCCCTGAATGTGCGCCACGAAGGTTTCCCTGCTGTCCCCTGGCCCAAGTCCAAGAGCAGCTGGGAGGCAGTTCTCCCCTCACGTACACTCTGGTCTGACTCAGGGCTCCTCCCACCGGAGCACAGGATGGACTTTGAACGTGCAGGCCCCAAAGGGACCACCCAGAAGGCCGAGCCCCTGCCCCTGCCCCGTGTGGGTCAACTGAGTACCTCGCCCTGGACAGGGCTGAGTGGGAGGGCAGAGACCAGCGGTCCCCAGGCCGGAGTACAGGCTTGGAGTCCGAACTCAGTCTTCACCCTTGTTTACCTACTTCCTGGCTCTGTGAGCTTGGAGAAGTTGCAAAACCTTGCCAAGTTTTCTCATTTTTCACCTGGAACATGAGTGTACCATTGGCCTGCTTGTGGGTTGTCATGGGAGTTGAGTGAGCCCAGAGCCTGCTGTGTACTGAATCGGTTGGTGAAGGCCCTCGCAGTTTTTGTTATTCAGAGAAGAGACAGAGCCCTGGGGTTGGGGCGGATGGAGGAACCCTTCAAGGTCCACTGAGGGCAGAGACTGTATTTTGTTGAATGAATGAATAAATGAATGACTGAAGTGAATTTGAACCTGACGGAATGAGAAGGGGTTGCTTCCATGGAGGGAGAAAAGAAGACATTCCATTTTGAAGGAGTGACCCTGACCACTTTTCTAAGGCTTTGGAGAGAACAAGTCCCTCCCTGGACCTTTCCTGCACCGCATAGGTGCACAGACAGATTCACACAGACATACAGAGACACACAGACCCACACAGAGAGGCACACCATCCTGCACGCATGCACGCACACGCACACGCACACACACACACACACACACACAAGTAGTGAGTTGGTGGAAGAGTAAGGACAAGGACACTTTGCTCTAGTACTTTCTCTTCTCTAAACCTCGTTTCCCACATCCTTGGGACCCCTGGCTCCCCCCCCACCACTGTCACATTTCTGCAGAAGAGATGCTACCTTGCATCAAGACAAGGGTACGTGGGTCTGCCGTGTCCCCTCTCCCACTGTGGTAGCTGGGGTGCTGAGGGTCACATTTTACATCTCCCCTTAGTGAGCCTGCACTGCTGCCCCATGGGCGGGGTTGCCGGGGGAGGGCAGGATCGGAATTTAATAAAGTTGGCCCAGGCTGCCTGCCCTGGAGAGTAACTTTCCTTCTGGGCATGATGCATTACCCGCTGGAATTCCAGCCCCTCCTCCGGACGTGGGAAGAGGCAGGAGGGGGCTGGGCCACAGGTCACTGCTCCGGAGCTCAGGCCCTTTGTTGGCTTGCCCCTGTCCACGTGTCTTGGTGGCACAGGTCCTGTGGCCTGAATGGAGGCTGTAAAGGATCCAGGATCTAAGCTGGCAAACATAATCCTGCCCCTGGCGCTTTCCTGCCTCTCTGCGTGGAATGGAACCAGGGCCAAACGCCATCACTCCTGGCCCACATACTTTCCACTGCCTTGCCGGGCTGTTGAAACAGGGCCTGGCTTTGCACCCTGAAGCCAGGGTGAGGAGACATGAATCCCCGGGCACCCAAATAATGGTTCTGTTCAACCTCGTGGTTCATTTGCATCCGGGCTGGACAGGGGCGCAGTCGCTCAGGATGCCAGGATACTGTGCGCCCCCCCTTACTCCCTGGCCCAGCTCAGAGCTCCTCACACTGCACTCCCTGCCTCTAGGTGGTCCTCGGGAGATGGAGTTAGCCAGTTTTCTTATCTGGAAAAGGGGATGGCAATAGCTCCGAACCACCCGATTCTGTTAGTTGAGGATGAAGTAAGAGAACACACATAAAACACTCCTTGTGGGGTTCGCACATGGAGGCTGTTGCCATTCTATTGCGGTTAACTGGATCTGAGTATAGATTTGGGGCTGGGGACACCGAGGGGGCCGGAGGCACAGGGGGCATCAGTCATGACCGGCTGTGGGCACCTCACTAAATGATTGGGGCATTATTATACAGTCAAGGGACAGGATCACTCTGTTTTAGGAAAGACCTCTGGTGGCTGGCCCTGTAGCCGATGGATGGAAGAGGGAGATGGATGCAGGGGCTCAGGGAGCCTTGCAAGAGCTGCTGGTGGTCTCACAGGGCAGGGGCAGAAAGAGGAGGGGCTGGAACTGCGGAGCTTTGGGAGGGAGCTTCTGTAGTATTTGGGGCAGACTGAGCACAGCTCTCGACTCCGTGGAGCCCCCCCATTCCTCTCGTCCCACTTGGCCTCTCGAGGCCCTCTGTCCTTCTACCAAATCCCTGGGCCCCTGGGGTAGGCGTGGGGCAGGGACATTGCCACTCGGTGTCGGAGGTGTAGGGAGGAGAGCCCACAATGCAGTGTGGCAAGAGGCCGTGCCCCCCGCCCCCTTGCCCAGTGTCTTCCGCTTCCCCCTGTCGGGGTCCTGACTCTTCCATCACTGCCTCAGAGTGAGGGATGGGGTGGGGGTGAGGGTGGGGGTGAGGAGGGGGCTTTCCTAGGGCCTCAAGTCATTTGGAATCTTTCCTTTCCTTGCCACAGCCCAGCGACCGACCCTGACCATCCCTACCTCCCTGCTGGGCAACCCTGAGCCCCTCCCCAAAGCTCCTCCCTCCCCTCTTCTCTCCAAGCCCTCCCCCTTCTCTCCTGGGATTTTCTCACTGACGAGCACCGACCCCAGGGGATGAGCTAGAATGCAAGATGGCACCACTAGCCTTAAGATGGCCGAGGCTCATCCACCTGACACTTCAATTTTACTGAAAGCTTAGTGGGGAGACACACACATGCAGGCACGCATGTGTGCGCAGACATGCTTTGGAGTAAAATACAAAACCCAAATTGTTTTTAGTATAGAACTTGAAAATTCAAAGAAGGCGTTCTCTCTTCTGGAGGTGGCCGCACTCTGCTGTCCGGGCTTTTTGTAGGATGTAGGAGAAGCCGCTGGGGTCCCGGGGCTCTTCTCTGACTGCTCCTGGCCATTCCTACCCCCCGCCACGCCACATACCCCACCACACCCCCACACACACATACCACTCTGCCGGGCCTAAGGGCAGAGGCAGGCTGCAGAGTGCCCAGCCTGCAGCCACCTCTCATGGCCAGACCCGGCGAGTGAGTCCTCTGCTTTTGTGCCTCCGCCTTCCCAGAACCTGAACATCCAGGTGGAGGACATCCGGATCCGAGCCATCCTGTCAGCCTACCGCAAGCGCACCCCTGTGACAGAGGGCTATGTGGAGGTCAAGGACGGCAAGACCTGGAAGCAGATCTGTGACAAGCACTGGACAGCCAAGAATTCCCGAGTGGTCTGCGGCATGTTTGGCTTCCCTGGGGAGAGGACGTACAACACCAAAGTGTACAAGTAAGGGGGCTGCTTACTCCTGGGCTCTCACCCTGCCTGGTTCAGAGTCAACTCTGGCAGGGACCCCTGCCCCTCAAAGAAGAGTCCTTCCTGCCCCACGTCATGGCAGGCCCACCCGTGGCCTTCCAGCAAGCCTTCCCTTAAGAAACTCCTGTTCCTGTGGGAGACAGACCCCAAAAGTATGACGAAGGTAGGGTGAGGGAAGGGTGAGGGCAGAGATGAAGTGCAGGGTGCTCCAGCCCAGAAAAATCCCACCTCTCGGTGCAGACAGTCAGCACAGGGACCACAGGGGCCGAACAAGGACAGTACTAGCCAGGCCGGGGGGGCGGGGGCAAGGGCAGCGCCAACTTAAGGAGACATGCCCACTTTTCTTCAGCAAATGATTATTCAGAGAAATCTGGACCTTTCAGGAGATTGAAAAATGGTTCGATTTGACTCAGTTACACCCATCCCAGTTAAACCTTCCAGTGCTGTTCTGGTTGCCAAAGTTAGCATCTCCAAGGGGAAAACGGGGAGATACCAACGAGACTTAGAGTAACCTGCTCCGAGGGGTGTCCAGTGAAGGGATTCGGCCCCCTGACAGACTGGCCGCTGGAGTAACTTGGTTGGTAATGGGGTCCTCCTTTCTCCTCTTACTAGCGGTAGCGACAGTCTGTTTCTGAGTGCTTGCTTTGTGTCAGGCTCTGCTGCTAGCCATCGAACCCTCCAGCACCAGGAAGCAGGGGACTGCTTCAGAGTCGAAGAAAGAAAGTCAGAGAGAGGTGGTAGAACTAGGATCTGAACACAGGTCTCCAGCTTCAGGGTCTACACTCCCAGAGAGTGTAGACTCACAGCACTGCCTCTCTCCTTTCAAACCAAGGACAGGGAATTTCCAAGTCAGGAGACATGGGTTCCAAGCCAGGCTCTCCTTCCAGATCCCTGGGGTCAGGGGCAGGCTGCATCCCTCCGTGGGCTTGGCCTGGCCATGTTTGGTTAGAGCCTCCAGTCCGCCACAGGGGTGAGCGCAGGCAGCAGGGCAGGCTCACAACACCCCGCGGAGTGAGCACAATGGCAATTCCCACCCTCCACCGCCCCAGACGTGGCCCAGACCTTCCTGGTTGCACAGGGCAGCTGGGAGGTGGAGTGGTCTCAGGCCTCTTGAGTCTCTGGACAACTCCCTCCATCTGGTCAGCTCCTTCCCTGGGGACACCTTCTCAGCTTTTCCGACCCATTGGAGCCAAGAAAAGCAAACCCCTCCCCTGGCTGGCCCCACCACAACAGCCCCCAGTCCAGTCCTAGGAGTGGGGAAGGCTGCCATCAGACCAAGGCCAGGCAGCACATGGCTTGTTCAGATGGCCTTTGCAAGCCATCTCCCCAGCTGAGGACGGTCCTGAGTCTTCTTCCTGCTTTTGAGGAAGGGTCTCAGCTCTGTTTTGGCAGCTTCGCTCCAGGCGATCCTCTCTCGTGGGCTGGGCTGCATTGGAAACCCTCTCCTTGCTCCACCCACCCCTGTGTCCGGGTTTCCTGTTCATTTTGGGACAGGAAAAGGTCCCCAGGGCTGGGAGGCATCCAAGGCGGCGGTGGTGGGTGGTGTTCTCAGGCAAGTTGGGAGATGATGAACTGACTACTGAAAACCAACTCGATTCCTGACCTCTAGCCAGAGAGGCAGGAGGGCGGGCGCTAAACCTTGTAGGCTTGTTTTATGTCAGCCTCTGAGACTCAGCTGACAGTTGGGTCCCAAAAGAGAAAGACACAGTGGAAAGTGTCTGCCTCAGTGGTGCTGTTTGGGGCTGTGATGGCAGCCGGCTGGAGGAAGCTCTTAGTGATGAGCTGGGTCTCCCAGGGCGTAGGGTAGCCTCAGAGATCACCTGGCCCAAGCCCTAGGTCTGCATAGAAGGAGACACAGGCCTGCAGGGCAGGGCACTCAGGGGTCACAGAGCCCCCCGGCCGGAGCCCGCGAGGGAGCCCAGGTGTGTTCTCCACACCGCTGCCCCCTTCAGCCCCTGCTCCTGCTCTGCTCCATCCCAGAGGCAGGGCCTGGCTACGTGGCACAGGCCCCCACCACAGGTGGCTGTTAAGTCTGGGAGCTGGGGCCAGGCTGGCCTGGGTACAGGGGGTCTGGGAGCCGTGCTGAGAGGCTATGGAACAGCAGAGGCCTGGGAGCCGAGTGAGGGCCACCCTGCATGGTCCCTGAGTCTGGGCCTTCCAGTAGCATCTTTCCCCAGCTCCCTTTGACCCTTCCCTCAGCCTGTCCCTGCTGTTGCTGACATCCCTCAATCCCAGGGAGGCCCTTCACCCTAGGAAGGAGATTGTTTTCAAAGTGATTCTGTCTAGAGTGGGGTTAGCCATCTCCAAGTATCCACCAGGTCCAAAGGAACTTTGCAGCCTTAGACATTCACCTGGGCAGTGTCTGAGGCCTCTCCCCCTTGCTCTGTCTGCTAACTGGTGTATCTGGTGGCCAGTCAGGGGCCTCAGGTATCCCCAGGGCAGGGACCGCAGCTCTTCATCAGAGTCTCTCAGCTCGCCACCCTCCCACCCTCCAGGCGGTTCCCACCTGTCCCTCAGAGTCCTTGCGTCCACAGGGTCACCACGAGTGGAGTCAGTTTCCCCACCAAGGGCTTCTTTGCCATGAGCTGACTTCTGCTCTGGCCTGGGGAACCATGAATGCTCCTTGAAGCTAATGAAACTGAAGCTTCAGGGCCCCATTCTTGGAGCCAGGAGCATTTTGTGGTCGTTTTTTTTTTTTTTTTTTTTTTCTTAAGAGCAGGATCCCAATGTTGACACTGATTTATTGATAGGAGCTCACTAAGCTGAGATTCTGCATCTAATGTTGCATCTCAGGAGTTAGGAAGAGCTTTAATGATTTGGTTGGTTGGCTGAAACATGGACCAAAATGTGGCCCACCATGAGCGAAATGGAAATGCCTGCTCTCCTTGGTTTCATGTGGCAGAAGGGATTCAAAGGCTTACGGAGACTGGAACGTTGGAGTGCATTTATCATCTGAGACCTCACCCACCCTGGGAAGGTCCAGAAGACACACTTTCCCTCTGAATGAGGAATAAATTTGTGTGGGAAACCCTGGCGTTTCTCTGTACCCTCTCTGTAGGCCATACCTCCCCCTCACTGCAGTGGGGGGTGACTGGATCGCAGGGCGGAGGGGCCAGGGGACAGCACTCAGCCTCCCAAGGCCGGGTGGGTGTGGTTCCCGAATGACAGCAGAGTCTGAGCAGTGATCAGAACAGCTTGACTCCTCCAGACCCATGGCACGGGCTGGTTGATCATGGTGTTCCTGGATGTGAAATGGGTAGGAAGCCTACTGAATTCTTACTTGTTCTAGAGGAACAGAAAATCTAGGCTGAGAGAACAAAAATCGAATCATAAACACAGAGGGTCACACCCCTCCCCCAAGTCCCAGACCCGAGCCAGGTTACAGACCCAGGACCCTTTGAATGAAGGGGAGGCTGGGTCCCCTTGAGGACGGACCCCAATAACACTGCCAAAAATGCACCCTGTTAATCAATTTCCTAGCCTTCCCCAAAAGGGACCTATGGCCTTTTACCAAAGTGTGCACTGGGGAAGAGGAAATAACCAGAACTTTCGGCACGACTGGACACAGACTCTGAAATACACTGCTTCCGGGAGACTCACAGGTCGCTGTGGCCCTCCAGTCAGAGGAGGGGCTTATGGAGGTCAGGTGGTCAATGGAGTTTTAGCTCAGGCCCATCTCACAGTGGGCCCAGTGCGTCCCTGAGCCCATCTTGTGGTTATTTCCCTAATGCTGGAATTCATCACTGGAATAGACATACACAGTAGCTGGCAGAATCCCTAACCAAATCCGGCTTTTCCCTTGGCTGGGAAGAGCCAGGAGGACTTTTCATTTTCAGTTGCAGCGGCCCAGCCCAGCCGAGGATTCTTCCTGCTACCCTGCCATAGGCCTAGACACTTCTTCCTCCAGCAGGCTCCCCCTGGGCCCAAAGCTGCCCCTCACTCTAGTCGCTCTCCAAACAGCAGGCCTGGGGCGGGCTGTCCATGCATCCTCCCCATGGCCTCGCCTCCTCGTGTCTGCACCCCCTGGACCTGGCGCTGGTGAATCACTGGGGGAGGGGGTGGGCTGCTGCCTGCGTAGCGGAGGCCTGTGGAGGGCCCCCGTGCATTCCTGTGAGCTGATGCGAGAGGAAAGCAGGGCTGTCTGGGAAAGGCAGGAGCAGATCTGTGTTTGCTGTAGGCGCTTCGGTCTATATTAAGAGCTCAGTACATCTGTTGCTGGGTAAGGCCAGTGTTCACTGAACCCTGGAAGCAAGAGGCTGTTTCAGGCCTTGCGCAGCTGATCTCCCCCGAGTGTGCTCTCTCGCTGATTGCGGGGGGGGGGGTCTGTCCTGAGGAACAAGCTGAAGACACCCCCCGCAGGTGTGTTCTCCAGGCCGAGGTGGGGGTACGGTGGGGAACAAGCTGGAGGTTGTGTTTCCAAGGGCAGGGGCCTTGTATGCAGGAAGTGGGGAGGGGCAGTGGTGCTTGGAATTCTTAACGGCCCTCCTGCAAAGTTCTTCACTGTAGGCTACAGGGATGTTGAGCACACATCCTGAATTTCCCAGGGTAGTCCTTTTTTCAAAGAGTCTGTGTCATTGGGTGCATAAGTACACTAGAATTATTACCAGTAGAAATTTGGGGTTAAGGAAAGATATTGGCGGTGTCTGTAGGGTTTCACCTTCCTCTGTGTTCACATCCCTTCACTCCGAGACAAAGCAGAAACTTCCAGGCCTGCCCTCCCAGCCGAAACAGGACCCGCCCCCTTCTGCCAAGCCCTGGGAGGCCCCTCCACTGGGCAGCTGGTGGCGATGCTGTCTGGCTGTCTGGGGCATCTCACTGGTTCTGCCAAGTGGGGACAAGCACACAGACCCCAGAGAGCTGGGACAGCACGAGAGGACAGGCTGTCGTCCCTGCCCTCCTCCTTTGCAAATCCCGCCATCATTCAGAGCCTAGCTCAAACGCTGCTCCTCCCCCAAGTCGTGACTGCAACCCTGGGGAGCCCTACCTTCTCTTCTTCCCTTTGTCTCCGTTAACCAAGATAGTTGTCACTGCTTCTACAAACACATACGAAGCCCTTCCTGTATGTGGTTTTAACTACTTCACAAGTATCATAAACAGTCTTATCAAGTAGATACCATTACCACTTCTAATGGGGAAACCGAGGCACAGTAACCTTTCCGTTAACCAGTTCCTTACTTATTCGTTGGTTCTTGTTTTAGAAAACACTTTGGCTCACCTTGGTCTTTATTCTGCCTTCCAAAAACACATACAAAGGAGCACTTCACACGTGATATAGGCTAAGAGCTTCCCTTAGGCTATGCTCCGGGGACACCGTGAGCCTCACTGGCTCCCAGGTGAAGATTTGGCAAGGTCTGTGGCCGAGTGTCCTGACCACTTTAATTTCCAAGCAAGTTATACTTTGATTCAGCCTATGGGGTGATTTAAGACTGTTCTTTGTTGCTTCTCATCGGATCCACACCTTTGATCTTGTATGTCGTTGGGAGAGAGTTTAACATTCACCTTGTTCTGCTCGTGACACAGGGAAGAAACCACAGCCAATCATGTTGAAATTATCTGAAGTGTTTGGGTGAGCAACCATTCTGGTTTGCCTGGGACTGAGGGTTTCCTGGGACCAGGGGTCTTATCTCTTTTAGGCCCCTTTCTGCATTTTGCGTTTATAGGCTTTAGTGTTCACTACGAGTTTCACTACGAGTCCTTCCTCTTCTAGCATATAAGCTGCCTGGGGGCGAGGTGGGGCAGGAGGTCACGTCTGCCCTCCCAGTCCCGCTCCCCAGCGCCCAGCATGGCGCCCCGCATGGCTGAGGTGCTCAGCGGGTGCTGCCCACTCAGCTGGGCTGAGCTCCAGATGCACGGGCTGTACCCATTCCGTTCCCCCACCAGATCCCCAGAGGCCAGCACAGCGGCCAGCCCCGTACCCAGTACCCAGTTGTGGAAGGAATGGGGGGGGGGGCGCCACGACGCCCTGGTCACCCGCCCCCTTGCCCCCTGCAGGATGTTTGCGGCCCGGAAGAAACAGCGCTACTGGCCCTTCTCCATGGACTGCACAGGCACGGAGGCCCACATCTCCAGCTGCAAGCTCGGCACTCAGGTGTTGCTGGACCCCGTGAAGAATGTCACCTGTGAGAATGGGCTGCCAGCCGTGGTGAGTTGTGTGCCTGGCCAGGTCTTCAGCCCCGACGGGCCCTCGAGATTCCGGAAAGCCTACAAGCCAGAGGTGAGGACGCGGCCAGAGGTCTGGCCCTTTGGCACGGGGCGCGGGGGGGACGGTGGCAGTTCAGGGAGCGGGCGGGGAACCCCCGCCCCCAGGAGAGAATGAGGAGAGCTGGCCCCAACTCAGACCACTTTCCTACAGGGCAGGAATGTAGTGGGACGCCTTTCAGGGCCGGCCCCACCCAGAGATGCCACCTCTAGAGTGCGCCGAGCCGCTGGGCCCCAGCCCCAAATCATCAGCACCCCGACCTGACCTCCCACCATTGCTGCTCCTCTCTGAGACCAGAGTCCCCTCCGTGGAGGGCAGACACCAAGGAGAGGAGAGCACTTCCTTATCCACTGCCACAGGCTCTGTGCGCTGTCTGCTGGCCCGGCACGAAAGGCAGGGGTGGGGAGTCCTGCTTCCTTTCCCGAGGAGAGCAGTGTTCTGGAGTTTGTGGGAAATTCAGTACGATTCCCAAAAGCACATGAACCCTGCTACAAATGTTTCCAAACATGTTTTGGTTTGTTCTGCAACAGAGAGGATAAAAATTTTTTAAAAAAGCTTTCACCAAGGCAGACAAGGAAAACCCGTCATTCCCACGTCTCTGTCACCTGTAGCCCTCAGTCACGTTCCATGCATGCAAGCAGCACCTGCGTGTGTGCGTGCGCGTGTGCGTGCACTCAAGACATGCCGATGTACCTCTGCTCACATAAATAACAGCCCCGTTTCAAGTGTCCGATTTCTTAGGACGAGCAAACTGTCCCGACCATGGCAGGCTTGACGGGGCCTCCGAAACAGGGAGAGTGTGCTCCTCTATCTTCCCTTGAAAATCATTAAGAGGAAATTCATTTTTCTTTTCCCTATCCTTCTTTTTTCTATACTACCAAAGGTTCTCAGTGATGTGCATGTTCTGGAAACTGCTCACAGGGACTGGTGGGTGGAAACAGCACATGGGAGGAGGAGGAGGAGGGGTAGGAAAGGCGGCTGCTCATTATGAGGGAATGGTCCCCCGTGCCAGATAACAGCTCCATGCTCACCCGGGCAGGGGTGAGTTCCGAGTCAGCTCTGACCATGTCGGGGGGGGCGGGGAGGCCGTGATGGCAGCCTCATCCTGTGTCTCCTTCCTCTCTCCCAGTCTCTGCCATCTCCCCTCCCCATCAACCTCTAAGGACCTGCTCTTGGGAGGGGGGTGATAGCACTCATCCGAAGGAAAAGAGAAACCGCGACAGGAGCCAGATAAACCATGTTGGGTGCCCCCTCCCAGGCTGGGGGTGGTGTATCTACACAAAAGAGAAAGCCTTCAGTGAAAGGAGTGAAATGAATGCTGTGAGCCCAGCCATCAACCAAGGGGTACGGGAACTATTTGGAGTGCCTTCGTGACTCTTCCGGCAGGCAGCCGTCCTCGCCCCCTTTGTCGCCAAGGGGCCTCCAAAGTGCACAGGCCCACCACACAGCACCTGCGTGCAGCCAGGTGACACAGACACCCCCGGACAGTGCCGCCCCCCCCCCAGCCCCACAGCCCCCGCACACCCTCACTTGCCCCCCTGCCACATGATGTGATCCTTCCTACAGCCTCAGCCTGAGCCTCTGAGCTTTTCTCATGTGTCATCCAGAATTCCAGACCCTACTGTTTTGGAATTCCTCTTGCTGCGTGGTTTAAAGCAAAGGAATCGAGTTCATGCCAAAGGAATTTAAAAAAAAGCGGGGGGGAGAGCAAGCCTTACATCACATTTTCCCTTGGTTTCTTTCTTTCCTCCGGGGCCAGCTGACTCTGCTCGGCCACTGCCAGGGTGGGGTGAGGATCTTTGGCACTCTGCCTCCATCAAGCTCGGGTCATGGATGGTCTGCCCTCTCATAAATGAGCAGCCACCTTTCCTCCCCCTCCCTTTCCGCTTCCCATGTGCTGGTCCCACCCACCGGCCCATAGGAGCAGTTTCCAGAACATGGAAGCCACAGCTGCGCATGCTAGACAGCTTGGGCCGAGCGGTTGGGGAAGGGAGAGGGCACAGCTCCACTGCAAACAGGCTGCAGCCAGCAGGTGTCTGGTTTGTTTTGTAAAGCTAGAAGGTTCTGGGTGTTTGGCACACACCTCTGTCCCTTTTCTCTCCCTAGTGCCTGGCTCAGAGCAGTCCCCACGGCTTGTAAGCCTGGGTGCTATCACTGTGCCCTGCCCTGCCATGGCAGCCACGGGGCACCGCCAGTGGGCGACAGCCCTGTGGCCGAGTGGGAACCTTGGCTGGAGGATGGAGACACGGGTTCTAGTCTGACGCCTTGGCCCTCAAGGTGGCAGGTGTACCTGAATGTCGACAAACACCACCTCTAGCCAGGCCACCATGGCTGGGCCATCGGCGGGTGTGGTCTGAGGACCACGGAGGCGCAAGTGGAACAATGACTCTGGTCTGATCCAGCACACACAGAACGGCTGCGTAGTCAGCCCACTCCCTCTGTGTTGAAGCAAATGAGCATCAGCAGTAACTCAGAGCCTCGAAGCCTTCTGAGCCCCGACCCCGCCCCCCGCCACACACACGCACGGAAGTTGATGCAGACCAGGGTGTGTGGGCAGATGGAATCATGTGAGCCAGCTCCCCTCTGGTAACATGTGATCCAGTGGGGTAAAGCCCTGGTGGAGAGTGGCTTTTATCCCTGTGTGATTAAATAAAGCCTGCGAGGCGCTTGGGCTTCCAGGCTGTCGGTGAGCGCTGAGGGGCAGTTAAACTGTAAGCATCCCCTCTCTGCACAGCTAGGGGCGCTGCCTCTTCTGCAGAGCCGGGCTCATTTGGACCTGGAGCAGAATCAGGGCTAGCGGTAGCCCGAACAGTGGCCGCGCATGCGCGCAGCCCCAGGACAGACGGCAGGCTCCCCACCCCCGCGCAGGGTCCATTGTCTCAGCCCCGGCCTTCTTGGTTAGCTCCCTGTCTCCCCGCTCCTGCTTCTCCCCACCTGCAGAGCGGGCTCACCAGAGTGTAACCGTCAGTGCCCTGAAGTCTAGTCCGCAGGGCTAGACTAGAGCGCTCCGTTCTAAGCAAGGTAGAATCCCAGTCCGTCTGGAATCTGCCAAGTTTGGGGGTAGGAGCTGCTTTTGGTAGCTCTAAAGCTGGAGGCTCTGCACTGGGGCCATGGAGGGAAGTGCTGGTGGTAAGGCCCCTGATCAAGCCTGGATTGGGGTGGCAAACGAATGAGGGTCCCGGTGGGCTCCTCCGTAGTCCAGGACGGCAGCTCCCGGAGAGCCGACGGTGCAGAGCGAGCATGGGCACCCCCCCCTCTGCCCCGCACATGCACACAACTCCAGCACAGCTTCAGCTCCTAGCCCGGGCACCTCGGTGCCGAGGGAGGCGGCTGGGAGGAGAGGGCAGCGCCCACCTGCCGAATGTGCATCAGCTTTTGCACTCAGCAGGACTGTGTGTCTCTTCAGCAACCCCTGGTGCGGTTGAGAGGTGGTGCCAACATCGGGGAGGGCCGAGTGGAGGTGCTCAAGAACGGAGAATGGGGTACCGTCTGTGACGACAAGTGGGACCTGGTGTCTGCCAGCGTTGTCTGCAGAGAGCTGGGCTTTGGGAGTGCCAGAGAAGCCATCACTGGCTCCCAGCTGGGGCAAGGTAAGGACTGGGGAGGCGTTCTGTGGCCTCTTCACAGGGAGCACGGCATGGGGGGCCCAGCCCAGGCGGGCTTGCTTCGGGCTTTGCGGGGTCTTCCTGCTTTGCCTGCTCCCACCCACGGCTGCCGCTCTGTTTGAGAATGCCGGACCTCTCCCAGCAGTCAGAGCTGCAAAGGCTTAGGGAACACTGAGCCCCCATTTTATGAATTTGGACGCTGAGGCCCAGAGAAAGAAGTGAATAACCAAGGTGAGACAACATATTAGCAGCCCATGAAGACCCTTAGTGGAGGTCTCCCAGCTCACAACCCAGTGCTCCCCAGTCCCACTGAGAAAGCTGGGATTCTCAGGCCCTTCCTCCAGGACAGGATTTCAGAATTCCTCCGACCATGGCCCATCCCAGGCACACAAGAATTTCAAAGGTCATCTTACTTTCCCACTCTGACGTAGCACCACAAACATTCTCTCCCTGCCACCAGAGACTGGGAACAGGAATGCCCCTCTCCGGATGTCACATGATGCTAACGAGAAGGGGCCTGGTTTTTATTAAGTGTCCTGCACAAATCTTTCATCTAAGCAGAGAACAAAAGTGTAAGAGGCTTTCAAGCGGGTCATTCCGTTGAGAACAACGATACACATGTGACATGAGGACACGACAGCTTCCCTTTCTGACAAGGAGGGTGGGGCGCCCTGTCCTGGGGGGAGAGGATGTGTCCATACTGCCAGACGGAGGGCCATCGCCCCACAGAGAGGAATGTGGTGAGGTCATTGGTCACAGCCTGGAGTAAGTAACAGCCCCGTGGACTGGAGAGAGAGCCCTGGAATCACAGATGCCCTGCTGGAGAGGACCTCAGTTCATCTAGTCCAACACCGAGGCATGGAGGTGTGGGAAGACAAGCCTGTGGTCACCCCCATGGTTAGTGGGGGAGAAAATCTGAAACCCAAGTCATCAGCTCCCAAATTTGGGCTTCTCCCAGTATGTCCACCATCGCCCAGGCCCCCCGCACATTCAGAACGTCTCTACCCCAATTCTGCAATCCTGCGTGCACTGAAGGTTAGGGGTCTAGGCTGGCCTCTAACGTTGCTTCGTGCCACGTAGAAGCCTTGGTGATACCGCAAGCCAGTCCTCTTCTGCCCTGGTCATGGTGAGCTCTTTGGAGTTCCCTTGGATGGCCTATACCCCCACAATCCGTGTCACTGATTGGCTGATGTGTTGGTTTGTGCTTTCCCAAGGCCTGCAGGACAAAGCCCGCTCATTCTGTGGAACAAATAAGCCTGGATGACATAAGCATCCCATCCCTCATGGGCGGGTGCTATTTGACCTAGTTATTTCACTGCCCAGAGCAGCCACACGTTTCCAGGGACCTGCAGAACTCTGCAAGAAAGAGACAGTTGGCATTTTTGATGCTGTCCTTGAAAGAACCACTGAATGATTTCTGATCTCCCGGCACTCTGGGCAGGTCAATTCTGGTAGGCAAGAAGGGAAAAGTCCACAGTCAGTGTCAAATCATGGAGCAGACGGGGTCAGTTCAGTCCTGGCTCTGGCTGGTGGACCAAGTGACCACACCCGGAGTTTGGGTGTGAAAGGCAGGAACCAAGAGGCGAGCAGTCTAAGTCCTAGTCCCAGCCCTGCCACCTCCTTGCCCAGCGACCTTGAGCAAAAGCCAGGGTTTCAGATTCTACACTGGAGTCCCATTTGAGGGTTTGTATGGCCCCAGCCTCCTGAGATTCTCTGAGACCTGCTGTTTATCACCAGGATAGCTGTTAGGTAGGAATCAGGCACTTTGTGCTTTGTGTTCCCGGGACCCCTTGCACACATCTGGACTCCAGCTGTCTGTTTCCATGTCCACCTCCCCCCAAGACCCAGTGCTGCATGAGGGGAGGGCCTGTGTCCTTCACCTCTGTGTCCCTAGTGCTGAGTCTGTACCCAGCTCATAGTGCTCTAGGCTGTTCATGTTACGAAGAATGAATACGTGAATGAGTGAGTTCCACTTGTGTAAGTGGGATCAGCTGAATAAACACTTGGTAAAGAAGTTTCAGCGCTCTACGCCTTAGCTGTCCAACAGAAATATAATGGGAGCCATGTAAGTAATTTTAAATTGTCTCATAGAAAGAAACAAATTAATTTTAATAATGTATTTCCCTTAATCCAGTATATCCCAAATATGATGATTTCAACATGTAATCAATATAAATGATATTAATGAGAGAGTATACATTTTGCGTACCGAGTCTTGAATCTAAGGAGCGCCTTATACTCAGAGCACATCTCAGTGTGGACTGGCCACGGTCCAAGTGCTCAGTGTGGCCCGTGGCTGTATTGGTCAGGGCAGCTCTAGAGCAGTGTCTTTAAAAGCCTTTTGCCTGAAATGCCCAAAAAGAAATACATGTGATGGGACAGGCCATGCACATAAAGCTGAGACAGAAGTTTCCAGAAACAGTGCTTACCTCTACGATACAAAACGCTATGTCCTACTGTATTCTACTGCCCTCTTAAAAAATGTGATTGTAACCGGCAGAGTTAACTGTGGGTCTAGAGTCCATGACATCGCTCCAGGGGGTTAGGCTTCTCCGCTGTGCCCTGCTTCTGCCCCTGGCCTGTGGTCCCCTGGGCCAGGGCTTGTTACCTGGGGGAAGAGCAGAGCCAAAGTGCAGGTGGGGAAGGCATCGTGAGGAGGAGCAATTCAGGGGTCAGTCCAGAACCCGGAGCGGGCGAATGCTGGGAGTCAGGATGCAGGGTCAGGCCCAGGTCAACAGAAGGAGCCAGGAGCCCACAGACATGGCTGGGCGTGCTCTGCTGTATACCCAGGCCAGGGGCCTTCAGGGACAGCGCCCACCCTGCAGAGCTCGGGAGTACAGGGAAGAGGGTGAGAAACACTGGTTCTCCCATCTCTGTGCCATGAATGTGTATGCTTCAGGAACATGGGGCCCGCCCTCTCGGGCCCCACCCCCAGATGTCTGAGAGCACCGTGGGCATTTATGCAAGGGAGGCTGGAAGGAGACAACCAGTTGTTAGCTGGAGTCTAAAGCACGTTAGGCTCTTGCATAAACCTTTCCTCCCCTGGCCAGTCCTGTAGGCCAGTGATTCATAAGCGTTCATTGAAGACTGGGCTGGGCCCTGGAATGGAGAATTCATTTATTCCACAAACATTTACGGTAATGGTTTCTGCTCCCCGGCAGCTCACGTCAAGTGGGGAAAACTAGAAATAACCTCCCTCAAAGATAACCTGCACTCAGAGGGGTGATATGAGAAGTGATACTGATACTGTTTGCCATTTCCTGAGCCCCTGGTAACTGGCCATCCGTGGTGTCACTCGTTTCTCATAATCCCCACCCTGCTGGAGAGATGTTATTATTGCCTTTGACAGATGAGGGAGGTGGGGCTCAGAAAGCTCCCTTCACTTCCCAAGGAGACGCAGGCCGTCTCCAGTCTCTTCTGGCCTCCCAGGGAGAGGTGTCAACAGAAAATGCTGCAGGTGGGGGTGAGGTGGTGTCAAGCGGAGCCGAGCCGGAGGAAGGCTTTGAGATGTTCCTTGGAGGCGAGCCTCTAGCTAGGTCAGCAAAAGGAGAAGGTGTTCAGGAGGCAGAGAGAGCATCCCCAGATGAAGAGCACGGGTGCTTCCAAACCCTCCGCTCTTTTGAAGAGCAACCTTCTGCTCCCGTCCAGCACACGGGGCTTTTCTCTCCTGATGGCTCCAGAAACCCAGCGGAATCCCGCTGTGGGGCCACACTGCCTGGTTTGCCTCCTGGCTCCTCCATCAGGCCTGTTACTTCATCGTGAGCCCCCCATTTCCTCATTGTATTGACTGGTGATGATTGGATGAGTTCATATACGCCATGTGTATAGGACAGAATCCAGCGCATAGTAAGCGCTCAAGAAATATATGTCACCGTTGCCATCGTCATCCTTCTGACAGTCGTCAAACAAGCCCTGCATCAGATACGCAGGTCCAGGGTTGCTGCCCGTTTCTGTGTCCCCCCGAATCCCTGAGCTGTGGCCCCTGCTTGCCTCGAGGATTCTGTTCGGGGCCTGTGCTGTCATAGCCTCTCCACTCTGAGTCCTTGGATGCTTCCAGCCATAGTCACTGTGTTTTAATCAATTTTATAAAATTCCAAGGAATTGGAAGCTTTATTGTTTGTGAATTGAATTTGTGAATTTCCAAGGAAAGGGAAACTTGGCTCTCACTTACTAACGTAGGTTGCTCCTGGAAGTTAATTTTGGCCTCGGTGAGCCTAGATACCGGGTGTCTCTGGAAGCCTCCACAACGGAAATCACAGAAGGAACACAGACATGACGCCTGCCCTTGTGGGGCCTCCAACCCAGTGGGGAAGCAGACACGGAACAGACAACCACCTGAGTGCTCGATGGGAGGCCACACGAGGGGGCCCAGCTTAGACGGGAATCAGAAAGGCTTCTCTAAGGAAGTGGTCAAAGCCGAGCCTTGAAGGATGAGCGAGAGTTAGCTGGTGAGGAGGGGAGGGAGATGGGCCAGGCAGGGGAAAAGCTCAGCTCAATCAAGCAGCCAAATAATAGGTGATGTGGCGGCGGACAGAGCTGGAATGCTAAGTGAGAGGCCAGGCTGTGCCTAACAGGCCACTTGGGGATTGTGGATTTTACCCTTCGATGCAGTGAGAAGCCGTTCCAGGGACTTAAGATGGGGAGTGACTTGATTCAATACGCATTGACAGCACTCGTGGGCTGCCCTGCGGTGAATATTTTAGAATGAGCGAGCAGGACGGAGCCTAGAGGCTGTTGCATTTGTCCAAACGGGAGAAGACAGAATTCGATGAGTGTCATGACAGCAGAAATGCAAAGCACCCAGACTTAGGGGAGTGAACAGATGTGGTGATGGATTCCTTGTCAACCATAGAGGAAGAGGGGTTACCAGAGGTGACCTCTGGGTTCTGGTGAGAACATCAGGCCGAAGGGACTCCACTTCCCAGGATGGAGAGGGCTGGCAGAGAAGCGGATGGGAGATGGTTGTTCTGATGGCTGGGGAAGTAAAGGGGACAAAAGAGACAACTTTTCCAAGAAGTTCACTTGGATGGAGACTAAAGTGACAGGCAGAGGGTGGGCTCAGGGGAGGGCGGCCGTAAGATGGGAGGTGTCTGAGTGTTGAGGGGCAGGACCCGAGAGGAGGATGGTGAGTGAGGATCAGGAAAAGAGAGGTGATCCCAGGCAGGGTGGGGACCAAAGTGGGAGTCAGTGCAGCCCAGGGCTCCCAGAGAGAACTGGACTTTGATGGGCTAGACAGAGGGGAGCTAGCCCTGTGAGCTGAGCTGAGCTGAGCCAACAGGGTCAGGTTGGGGATTCTCTTTCCCCAGCAGTGGGGGGCTCCGCTTGGTTATCTGGGTGCACGTGACAGCTTCCCTGCATGTTCACCATCGGTCGTTTGCCAGATGATTTGCCCTCTCTGCCCCAGCAGAGAGCACTGGCGGGAGATGGGCTGGGGAGAGGAGGGAGGCCAGGTATCTCTTCCCCCAACAGGGTCCCTGCAGGCCGCTGTGTCCCTCCTGGACCAGGAGTAATGGCTCTTTTTTTTTTTTTTTTTTAAGATTTTATTTATTTATTTATTTGAGAGAGAGAGAATGAGAGAGAAAGCACATGAGAGGGGGGAGGGTCAGAGGGAGAAGCAGACTCCCTGCCGAGCAGGGAGCCCGATGCGGGACTCGATCCAGGGACTCCAGGATCATGACCTGAGCCGAAGGCAGTCGCTTAACAAACTGAGCCACCCAGGCGCCCCAAAGGGGTAATGGCTCTTAACAGGTGCCCTTTCCACATACATGCTTTGCTTTCCTGAGTCAGACACTAGCATCTTCCCCTCACTCCTGCTGGCCTAGGGGCCATTTCTGTGTCCCACTCTTGTTAGCCTCTGAGTGTTGGACTGTCCGTTGTGATTTTGTGATTTCCCTACACTCTGTCCATACCTTTATTATCTTTTTTTAAAAAGATTTATTTATTTACTTTAGAGAGGGAGAGCGAGTGGGGTAGGGGCAGAGAGAGAGGGAGAGACTCCTCAAGCAGACTCTCTGCTGAGCATGGAGCCCGATGTGGGGCTCGATCCCAGGACCCTGAGATCTTGACCTGAGCTGAAATCAAGAGTCAGCTGCTTAACTGAATGAGCCACCTAGGTGCCCCCTACCTTTATTTTCAAAATCCTTTTTTCTTAACTATGTTCAAATCATCCAGTTTGAGTGTGCCATCACTTTCCTGCGGGGACTCTGATTCTATAGAGATAGTCACCCCTTTCGGGTTCAAAATGCACAGAGTATTAAAGTTGAAGAGGGAACTTAGATGTCTTCTCGTCCAACTCCTTTATTCAGGGAAGAAAACCAATATTCAGAGAGGCTGAGTGGGTCGGCCAAGGTCACACAAGAAGTTTGCAGCACGTTTGATTTGCTTTTAGGGGAGAAGTGAACCCCAAGACAAAAAGCAATTCTCTCCTCTCAGGGAGAGGAGGCCTGGAACCTTGAGGTGGTTATGGGATGCAGTTGGAAGAGTTTTGAGGGTGGGAGAAACACGTTCTTACTGTCCAGGACTTTCTTGCCCACTCCAGAAACTTACCTTCAGAAGCTGTCAATAGTACCTGTTTGTTTTCCTCCCCCAGGGATAGGACCCATCCACCTCAATGAAATCGAGTGCACCGGGAATGAGAAGTCCATTATAGACTGCAAATTCAATGCCGAGTCTCTGGGCTGCAACCACGAGGAAGATGCTGGCGTGAGATGTAACATCCCTGCCATGGGCTTCCAGAAGAAGGTGAGGGGCTGTGTTCTCTTTCAGTCACTGAGTCCCAGAAAGTATGGGCCAGGTGGCCTCACGCTCAAGGGTTCTAACAGGTGGTGTTCGAGGGCTCCGCTGCTGTCACTGTTAACGACATTGTCGCCTCACATTCATTAAGCGTGCCAAGTGAGAAAATGCATGGATAGGCACACTGTCCTTAGTGGCAGATGGTGGGCATCCAATGCGTGCCACACCCTGTGCGGGGACCGGACTTGTGGTGTGATCGTGACCCAGTCCTTTCTGTAAGGGACTCAAGGTCCGTAGCACGTGTGACACCCTTGGCATGGTCCCTGTCCAAGGACCCAGGGGAACTACATCGGCAGCAGGTCTACAAGCTACACAAGGGTAAGCACAATACAGACAATATTTTGGGACAGAAAACTGTGTTTTGGTAACCAGAGGGAAAGAAAGGGGAACCTTAACAGCATTATACGAGAGGCACACCCTTCCTCTTCTGAGATGGAGTCTCTAGAAACCTACATCGTGTCTCCTGGCTTGGGTGATCTTTCCCACAGCGGGAGCCGAGATGAATTCCTCTCGGTCTATCCAATCCTACAGAAAGGCCCAGTACATCCTGTTCATTGCTCTTTTTTTTTTTTTTTTTTTTGCAAGGTTTATTGAGTGATAGCAAAGTGATAGTACAAATCTCCCAGGGAGGGAGGGGACCCAAAGGGGTTGCCCCTATTCAGATTGCCCTTCACTATCCCATGTATTTGGTTGGGTTCTCTGCATCATCTACTACCTGGCTGGCACATTGGAAGAGTTTCTTAAGTGCTTATTTTAAAAATGAGCCGCTGCAGACACATCAGGGCGCAGGATGGCTCCCCAGTTGGGTTCTTGCTTTGACAATGATTCTTGACCTTGGCACCGGCATGCCCAACTGGTCAGCCACAACATGTGTTGCACAATTCACTGCCCGATGGGGCCCAAAATGGGACCCAAAATGGGACCCCAGCAGCCCTCAGCCAAGCCGTGCATTTGCCTGTGGGTGAGTAGGAGCATGGGCCGCAAGCCCCCAGCTGCGGGGAAGGCTTGCCATCTCTAATTGTCCGGCAGCATTGCAAGATAGCCGTATAGAGCTATGGAAGGTGACAAGCCACGGATCCTGGCATGCTGTGGCAGCCTTCACTTCAGGCTGATTAGAGGAGGGTGGAGTGAGGTTTTCAACCCAAGTGAAAGACGTAGGCCAAAGAAAGTAATGTTTTCCAGATGGGTTTTGTGGTTGGGATGGCTGAGCCAGGCTGTGTGCTCGGTGATGCTAGTGGCAGGACCACACTCCCAGCACCAAGGGCCTCACCCTTGCTTGGGCCCTCCAGGCTCCGGCAGGTGTTCCCTGAGCTCACGCAGGAGGCGTGGGGGAGTTTTACACCTGCTTGCCATCCCCCGGGAAGAAATGGGCAAGGTCACCTGTGAAGGAAAGTCCCACGGGCCGTACGGGTTGTGTCGCCACCGCAGCGGGCCAGCCTGTCACGTGGCATGGCTGGGGCTCCCACGGGCATGGGCAACCACGCCAGGCAGAACCATCCAGACTCCCAGCTGTTATCACTGTGTTAGTTTGCCGGGGCCGCCATAGCAAAACACCACAGACTGGGAGACTTCCACAGTAAAAATGTTTGTCCTCACAGTTCGAGGGGCTAGAAATCCAAGATCAAAGTGCCGACAGGGCTGGCTTCTCCCGAGGCCTCTCTCCTCGGCTTGCGGATGGTCGCCTTCTCGCGTGTCCTCACGTGGCCTCTGCGTATGCATCCCTGGTGTCTCTTCCTCGTCTTGTGAGGACACCCGTCATATTGCACGGGGCCCACCCTTAGGACATCATTTAACCTTAATTACGTCTTGAAACACCCTTTCTCCAGATACAGCCATATTAGGGCTTAGGGCTTCAGCACAGGAATTTCATGGGGACACAAGTCAGTTCACCATCACTCACTGGGTGATTCCTTATTTAATTTTTTCGAGGCTTGAGTTTACTCCTCTGAAAATAAGGAAGTGAGAGCGATGATTTCCCTGGCTTCTCTGCCACCCCCCTTCGTTAGGAAATTGACTTTTCTCTTGAATGGCTACTAAAGACCACGGACTTGGAACCGGGGGGCAAAGCCTCATTCTGCTCGCTGCTGGGGGGGAGGAGCCGAGCCCGGGAGGCTCTGGGAATGTCCGGTGGGGTTACCGGGCGACCACCCTTGCTGGCCTCCCGCCCACCTCTGAGCCGCGGGCGTCCCCTGGCCTGGCCTGGTTAGCGGGACCAAGCCCGTGTGTGGAATGTGAGTTGGAAGGTGCCCATGCTTCCTTTCAGGCTGACATCTAGGTCGTGTTCCCTCGCCTCCTCCCCACTCACCTCCCAAAATAGGTGTGGGCCTGGTTAACCACAACCTTATCAAACCACGATGCAGCCTTGCTGGACTCCACTGGCCGGAAGTGTTTGGCTTTCCCTGTTGACACTCAGGAGAATGCCGCTGCCTTCTTTCAAACCCCAGGCTGCCACCCTTGAGAACCAAAGGAGTAAGAAAAGGGAAATGCCAGGGTTATTTTGAGGACGATTGACCTTCCCTGGCATCCTCACTGGGTGATGAGGCCGAGGGGTGAGGGCCAGAGGCTGCTGGCTGACCCGCGGCCTTTTGGAGTTCTGCCAGTGCTGGTGATGTCAGAGCACCTGTAGCTAGTGCGCCAGGCTGTTTCCAGAATGCTGGCGCCTCGGAGTGGGGCCCGGGGCATGGAGGGCTATGTCCTGCGCCATGTTGGAGCTTCATGATTGGCCTCTTCCTTCCTCTAGTCCTCTCTAGAAAATGCAAAAAGGCCCCCAGTGCATCTTGAAGCGCCTAGACTCCTTCCAGAGCAGTGGCACCCTGGTCCCTGTCACAGAGGCTGCTCCAGGCCTAGTCAGCCTTGGAGAATCACAGCAGCAGCTCGGAGCCTCGGGAAGGGCATCAAAGAGAGGCCCCAGCTCACCACTGGTAACCGTGTGGTTTCCTTACCCCAGAGCCAACGGGCAGCCACGACCCTCAGCCAGAGCCTCCGAGGCTTCCCGTGGCTTTAGGTTGTGGGACAGGGACGCTGCCACATGGCCAGCCAGCTTCAGGCGGGCTGCACAGGCAGAGATGGACAAGGGAGAGAGTCCTCTGGAACCTCCTAAAGGGAGCCCTTCACACCAAGATTTAAACTTGGGAGCCCCCCTGCTCTCTGGTAGCAGGACAGAGTGAGAACGGGGTTCTTCCGGCTCCCCCATCTTCATAGTTCATTGGCCTCGAGATGACAAAATGAAGTCAGTTTTCAGGCGGTGGTGCCCATGAAGGGGGCCGCAGGAGGAACCATCCACCCCCGGTGCAGTCAATAAGGCGGGGCACAAATAATACAATTTAAAATAAAACAAATAAAATAAATAAAATAAAATAAATAAACTAAACTAAAATAAAATAAAATAATAAAATAAAATAATAAATAAAATAAAATAAAATAATAAATAAATTAAATAAAATAATAAATAAAAATAAAATAAAATAAAAAATAAGGCAAGGCACAGTCCACAAGGAATTCAAAAACGGTAACAAACCCGTTTAAAGTCATTCTGCTCTTAGCTTCACTGCCCACTGGCATTCAGAGCTTCAGCGCTCCCCTGGCCCACTGGAAGGGTCCACACCCATGGCCTCCACCTCCCCAGGTGCACAGGCTTGGTGGGGGCAGCTGGAAACCACACCGGGGCGGGGGGTGGGGGGTGGGGCGGCTTGGGGGGGATGGCCTGTGGTTTCCTAGAGATGTTCCTGATGGGTTTAAGCACATGCCCCACCCAAAGTGCTGGCCCTTCCTTGGCATGTTGAAGCTGGGTAGCCTGCCTTCTGCCATTCTGAGATTTTCTTTTTTTTTTTTTTTAAAGATTTTTTTATTTATTTGACAGAGAGAGACACAGTGAGAGAGGGAACAGAAGCAGCGGGAGCGGGAGAGGGAGAAGCAGACTCCCCGCGGAGCAGGGAGCCCGACGTGGGGCTCGATCCCAGGACCCTGGGATCGTGACCTGAGCCGAAGGCAGACGCTTAACAACTGAGCCACCCAGGCGCCCCCATTCTGAGATTTTCTAACTGGCTCTGCTCATCTTATTGGTCTCTGTTTTCACATAGACCCAAACATATGTTAGTCGTGGGTGAAGTACGATCCATATCTAAGACCATGTCCAGTGCCCACCTTCACCCTGGGCTCTCAGCCCAGAAACACTCAGGAAGGCAAACGTTGGCCCCCCGAAAGCCAGCCCTCTTCTCGCCTGCTCTGACCCCTCCTATTTCTTCTGAAGAGAGTTTTGATTTCTGGTGGGACTCTCACCCTAATAAAAATCATTACTAGTATGCTAATATTTCTCGAGCACTTACTGTGTGCCGGGCCCTGTGTGAGCACTTTCCATGAATTACCTCGTTTAATTCTTCCTCTCCACAAGCCTGGGAGGTAGACCCGGCATCGTGGCTGCCCTTGGTTTATCTGTTTGCCGGCTGACCTCATTTACCTTTGCAGGCCCTAAGTCCATAATAAGAATTGAGACCTGTGCCCCAGGAGTATGCTGTTGCTAAGGATTGGCAAGCCAACAGCCCAATGTGCTCAGGGTTCCTAGAGTCGTCATGCCTTGTCCCAAAGGATGAATTCCTAGGCATATAAAGGAAGCTGGGAAAGGTGTTTGGATTAGGGGTAGCATTTTTAGAGCCCTTCCCCAATCTCCAGATGGCTCTGCTTGAGCTCACCTAAGTTGATCCACGCTTTCAGTCCATAAGACTGATGATTCATTCATTCCAAAAGTAATGTTGGAGAATCTAATGTTTGTGAGGTACTGTCTTAATTAATCGATCACACAGGAAACCGCACAGATACGACTCTGCCCTTGGGAGCTTATATTTGAGCGGAGGAGACAGATGTTAAACAAATTGTGAGTTAGCTTAATTGTAACTGTTGTAAATGCTAAGAAGGAGACGTGTAGGGAGCGACAGTGTGTACATGGCCACTGACCCCAGTGAGAGGGAAGTGTTGCAGGGTACGGAATCGGAAGGGTGAACAAGGATCAGCCAGGCAGAAGGGCACCTGTATGTAGTGCGCTTACACGTGTGACTTACTGCGTGACTTGGTCCAGAGAGTTAGGTAGCTGAGGAAACTGAGGCCCGCGCACCTGGAGGTGGGAGAACAGGGTGCAAGCGTGAGCATTGGAGCAAGGGGAAGCCGCTGCCATGTTCCAAGCAGGGAAGCGACACGAGCTGGGGTTTTTCAAAGCTGACTCTGGCTTCTGACCAGACAATCGGTTGATGCAGTCCAGAGCGGAGGCAGGGAGAGGGGAGGAGGTCTGGCTCAGGCAGGAGGCAATGGCGCTGGGACAAGAGGGTCTGCGTGGAGCTGGGAAGCAATGGACTGGAAAGAGACTCTGGAGATAAAATCCACGGAGGAAGGTTTTGACCGGATGCGGGGGCAGAGAGAGGGGACGGTGTCGAGGATGGCTCCGGGATTTCTCGCTTGTATGACAGAGTAGACTGGGGATCAGCAAAGGACAGCTTGCAGGCCCAACCTATCCCTGTGCCTGTTTTTGTCATTATAGTTTTACTGGAACACAGCCATGCTTGGCCATTTACCCATCAGCCGTGGCTGCTCTTAGCTATGTGGCAGAGCTGAGTGGTTACGACACGGAGCGTTCGGCCCACAAAACCTAAAATACCACCTGGCCCTTTACAGAAAGTGTGCTGCCCCGGAGTAGGTGGTGCCTTTTGCTGCAATGGGGAACAAGGGGGAGATAGAGCACAGGTTTAGGTGGAGACCGAGAAGATGCCACGTTCAGATTTGGGGTCTCCCTGGTGCCAGGTGGAACTGTCAAATAGGCAGTTGGTTCCAGGGTCTCAGAAGGGAGTTCTGGTGGAGAGGACGGGGGCGGGGCAGATGAGATCCGGAGCGGGAACCAGCCGAGCAGAGGGTGTATTCTAACATTTAAGGCCCCTTGATGCAGCCTGCCAGGTGTCTTATTCTAAGGGCAGCCCTCCCCAGTAGTCTCATGGAGGGCAGCAGGGAGTAGGGGCAGGTGCCGCTGTGGGGCTCGGGGCGGGGGGGTCAGTGCACAGGCTTCTAAGGCCTCGGGCTGCCTGCAGGTGGGGACCTAATACATAAGCCCATACTGGGCAGGATGCAGGTGCACAGTAGGCTCTCAGTGATGCTGTTGAATCTGACTGTGTCCCAGGCAGGACCCCCTGGCTTGGGGGAAGCTGAGATTGATGGCAATATGGTGGGGCAGCCCCCCTCTGTTCCCACCTGGTGACTATGCCTTTCTTTCCACAGCTGCGCCTGAATGGGGGCCGGAACCCCTACGAGGGCCGGGTGGAGGTGCTGGTGGAGAGGAACGGGTCCCTCGTATGGGGGACGGTGTGTGGCGAGAACTGGGGCATTGTGGAGGCCATGGTGGTCTGCCGGCAGCTGGGCCTGGGGTTTGCCAGCAACGCCTTCCAGGTGAGAAGCCCCCACCTCAGCCCCCTCCATCCAGTGTGACCCTGCCCCTCTCAGTCAGCCCCTGCTTGCCATGCACCTTCCCCAGCTACCCAGGAGGTGGACAGCAAAGTGCCCTGGACTGGGGGGAGGGAGGCAGGAACCTCATCCTGGCCTCCGCTCTGCCCCTCACAGCCCTGAGTCCTAGGGTGAGTCATGTTCCCCTCTGGCCTCTCTTTCCCCGCTACAGAATAAGGGGCTGGACTCTGGCTTCCAGGGTCCACTCCACTTAGAGCCCTGGGATTCACACTGGGCTGAGGGCTGATTCTGGGGTATGCTGATGTGCCTATGCAGAGGGAAGCAACTTGGTCCTACAGCACAATGGAGACCACCCAGCCCAAGGCCCAACACCCCAGATGCCTTGGCTCACTCCCTTGGAGGCCCCTCCGGACAGACCATGTTTCCCAACTGGTGTCTGTACTCAGGCCTTCTCCCCTCGATTGGCTGGTAAACCTCTAAGCCTTGTCCCGTCGTCTGTGCCCTCCTCCCGCCGGCCCCTTCCTGAAAGAGAGCTGAAGGCAGCTAAGCCCCTGCCCCTTTCAGAAGGCAGCAAGCAGACGAGAGGCAAGAAGCGCTTTGGCTTCAAAAATCATTGACTTCTGGAACCTATATTGTGAGGACACATTGTCAGAAGGAGGCAGGAGGGAGAAGGCAGAGATGAGGGGCTTGAGGTCTGTTCCCATCTACAGCCCCACCAGCCCACTGTATAACAGTCTGGGGCAAAGCAGCCATCCTCCCATGTGTCCCTTCTCCTCCCTGTGGCATGGAATGAATAGTCCCAGGTCCTCAGTGTCCTGGCTCCAAACACTGAGAAAGGGTTTGGAGAAGAGGAAATGGCTGGAGCCCCCATCTTGCTTTGCTAACCCCGACTGGTTAGCAAGGGGAGCCCTGTTCCTCGGAACCGGATTTCTTAGGGAGGGACTTGGGGCAGCTCTGAAGCCTTGCTAAACCTGACTGCCTGCCACAGGCTGGCTGGGTCCACAGTAGGAGCTGAGTCCTGAACAGAGGCCACCTTGTAGCTCCTCATTCCAGCATTCAGAAGGGACGGGCCTCCGAGAGCCCCACCCACACCCACCAGGGTCCTGGCTTCCCATAGTGTCTCTGCTAATGCTGCTTTGACAAGCCAAGGCACCCTCTGGGGCCCCAAAGAGAGAGGAAAAAACAGTGCCATTTAGCAGAGGGCGCATCCAGCTATTTTCGTTCCTGGTCAGCTCATTCTTATGACACCTGGGCCTCGGCAGGGTCATGACGTGGGCCTGGATCTGCCACCGATTACACACCCTGTCCCTTCTCAAGGCCCCAGTTCTCTCTCTAGAGGATGAGGGAGTTCTCTAGGTAAGCAGAACCAATAGGATGTATGCATGTTGAGCTATCACGTGTAAATAGATGTCTTCTCTCCTGCCAATTCTGATCGAATGGTCGTTGTCTCCCGGGAGCACTGTGCCGAGGATTCTGAGAGCACGTGCAGGTTTAGAGGAGAGAGGGTTGTGATGGACCAGTCACATGTCTGCCCTAGGCTCAGGGCTGGGGAGCGAGCAGCATGAGTTACAGGTGCCTGCCGTTCCTGACACACAACACTGGACAGCCGTTTGACCAAAACCTTAGCTACGCTTTCCCCGCGGGGACCAGTGGCAGAACTGGAGCGTGAGGGTCTCCCCGACTCCGTCACCAACAAACTGCTGACTCTGCGGACATGGCTGTGTGTGCCTCTGCTGTCTCCATCAGAAAAAATGGGCTCATTTAGCTTTAGGCTTGGGATTTTCCTGAGGCTGAAAGTTGACAGAATACGAGAAAGTTAACAATTCAGGGTGACACGCTTCCCATTTCCTTTGATTCCTCCAGGAGACCTGGTATTGGCACGGAAATGTCTACGCCAACAAGGTGGTCATGAGCGGGGTGAAGTGCTCGGGAACGGAGCTGTCCCTGGCCCACTGCCGCCACAACGAGGACGTGGCCTGCCCCCAGGGTGCAGTGCAGTACGGGGCCGGAGTCGCCTGCTCAGAAAGTGAGAGTCCCTGGGGGTCACATGCCCCCTCCCCACCAGCCTCCAAGAGGGGACCGGGAGTCCCACTGGTTATTCCTGGCCAGGCTCTGGGGCCTCTGCCACGAGCTGAGCCGACACTTAGCCTTTTCCCTCGTGAATCTGGGAGGTGTAAGAGGCCCCGGATCTGGCCAGAGAACTTGAGAGCAGACCCCACCTGCCATTTATTAGCTGATCTTGACAGAGTTAGTTAACCACTCTGATCTCTAGTTAGTGGTTTTCCTAGACAATGGAAATTAAATGTGACAGTGAATATGCACAGGTGCACAGAAGACAATGATGCACCACCTTTTATGGTCATGGAGAGCTAGGGGAAGTCAGACCTGAGCTGGTGAGCTTCATGCACCCACTGACCCCTTTAGACTCACCCAGCATTTTCTAAGCCTTGTAAGGAGGGACTGGCCACCCTGGCGTGAGCTCATCTGGGCGGACAGCACTAGCTATTCATCCTGTCTGAGGAGGAGATCATCACCCTTACTGGCCTCCCCAGGAGGAACATCCAAGCAAGAGAGAAGCAGTCAGGGGCCTTTTCTTTGCTTCTTAATTTATTTATATTTGTAATATACCATCATTTCCAAGAGCAAAGTAACATAATATAAGCCTAAATAAAATTCAAGGTAGCATAAGAGAAAAGGAGATATGAAAAGTAGGCCTGGCAGAAAGGTAGTGGCTCAAAATGGAACTGAGAGAGGGGTTAATAAAAAATACATACTATAGAGTCGTAAACATTTACTGTTGGGAGGTCATAAAATTCACCATGAGCTTCCTAACAGCCAAAGGAAAGAAGGAAGTCATTCACAATGTCCATGAAGTAGAAACACACCCATGAGATTAGAGGAGCCCACTGTTCTAGATTATGAGATGGAAGGGAATTTCTCATGAAGACAGTTATGAGATAAACAGTGCCCTTGACACCTCATGGCAAGTGAGAAATGAGTTTCATGGGGCTCTGAGAACCCCTCAAATTAGTCTAAAGGCATCACTCAGGGTGACTATGGGAGGGGGGGCAGTGGCCATTTGGGCCAGGAACACAGCTCTTGGCTGATCTGGCTTAATGCATGTTAGAGTCTTCAGAGATGAAGTATATTCTTCAGGACACCCTTCGTAATTACTTTTTCTCATCCAACCAGTTCCACCCTGTGTCTGCAAGCCTTCCTTTCTCTCTCTCTCTCTCTCTCTCCCTCCTGACCCACCCCCCACCCCGCCATACACAATCCATCTTTATTGTTACCTTTCCGTGTTTTCTCGACTCCCTCTACCTCTTTCCCTCCAGCTTCCTTGGCCCGTGTCCAGGCGCCATTCTTCCAGGCTGTATCCGTGCAGATGCTCCTCCATATGGGATCCCCCCCAGTGACACATGTCCCTTCGATTGCTCCCCCTCCCCAAAGCCAGAATCAATGCTGGTCTCCCACTCACGCCTCCGTCCTGTTCAAACCCGTCCAGGCTTTCCCGCAGCACTTTAGGTGAATACAGGGACTTGCACAAGGCACGTGTTGTCCAGCCTCATTTGGGGCCACCGTCCACCTCCCACCCCTCCTCGCTGGCCCAGCCACACAGGCTTTGGTGCTCCTTCATGCCTCAGGGGCCTGGGCCATGCTACTTAGCCTTGTAGAGCTACTTCCTGTAATCCCTGCTCCTCCTTCCAGGGAGAAACTAAAACCTAACTGCATCCGGGGAAATCCTTCCTGACCTCCTCCCCCTGCCCGACTGGGTCCCCCGGTTATAATTTCCAACACCTTCCATATTTCTCCTTCTAGCTCTGATCACAACTGTAATTAAGTAATTAATATGGGCTTCTGTCTGTCTCTCCTGCAACAGTGTAGGGTCTGCCTTGTTCAGCACTGCCCAGAGAGCCTAGGGCAGGGTTTACTAGAACACTTGGCGGACAGGTGGATGAAGGCATGCTTCCGATGAGCTTCTGGTGGATATTTTGGATGTTAGGGAGGTCAAGGCCCTGTTGCATGGCAGGTGCTGAGAACACAGCTCCCAGGCTACCAGCTCACTGCAGACCATGTTTTGTTCAGACCCCAGAGCTGGAGCTAGGCTGGTCTCCTTTCAGAAGAGAGAGCAATGGAGACCCCTTCGCTCAGCTCAGACATAAGCAGAGGGGCTGTCCATTAAGTACCGACTAGGGTATAGACAATGAATAAGAGACCCATCACACCCTCCAATAAAAGTGTGCCCGGGACACTGAGCACCGGCAATGCTGCATCCTAGTGTGTGTCCTCCAAGAGGAAGTATTTCTCAACAATTGAGAGCCCTCTAATTGATGTCTTCTGCTCCCTACCCCACATCTCATCTGTGTGTCCCCTTCAGACTCTTCAGTTCCACATCCAAACCCTGCAGGTGGATTTGCTCTCTAGAGGCTGCCGGACCCAGGAGGTACAAGTATGTCTTGAGAACATGCAGCCCTTCTGCCCAGCAATTTTACTTCTAGAAACATATTGTAAAGAAATAACTTAAGTTTCATACACAGATTTACTACAGGATGTTTATCACAGCTTTATCTTTAACGGTGAGACATGGCAAGCAACCAGTGTATCTAAAAATATGAGATAGGGTTATGAATTCAATATTATGTAGCCATGAAATGCATGTGGTAATGGATATTTATTAGCAAGGAAATATGTCAAGATATATTTTAAGGGAAACAGTATTAGCAAACTGTAAATCTACATACAGCATTACACATGTCGTAAACTGTATGTGTATCCTTCCCAGAAGGATCAGACCAAGGCATTCCTGGTGCTTTCTCTCCGGGATGCACAATATTATTACTATTGTTTGTTTTTTATTACACAAAATCTCCAGCCACCCAAAAGTAGAGATAACAGTATAACGAACCCTCGTGTTTTGCCCATCATTTTGCACTGATAGCTGTAGAGGTGTCCAAGAGGACTCTCAGAGGAGGGGAAGAGGAATTTGGGGTAGCATTCCTCAAGGAAGGGGACCTTGAGAGACCATGAGACAGTCCCAGCTGGTGGTGCTAGGCAGGGATGGGGGTTTGTCCCAGCTCAGGTGTCAGAAGCAAAAGACTTGGGAGGGGTGAGGGGTCTCTCGTCTTGTTCGAACATCGTGTCTGCCCTCCCCAGCTGCCCCTGACCTGGTCCTCAATGCGGAGATTGTCCAGCAGAGCACCTACCTGGAGGACCGTCCCATGTTCATGCTCCAGTGTGCCATGGAGGAGAACTGCCTCTCAGCCTCGGCCGCCCAGACCAACCCCACCACAGGCTACCGACGCCTTCTGCGCTTCTCCTCCCAGATCCACAACAACGGGCAGTCTGACTTCCGACCCAAGAATGGCCGCCATGCGTGGATCTGGCATGATTGCCACAGGTGAGCCCTCCTGCATCACCCGCCGGCTACGCTGGCCCAACACGCTGCAGGGCCCGCATGGGATTCAGAATCGCAGGGTCCCTCTGAGACAGCCGAGAGGCCATACACCCAGGAGGCAGGGAGTCCGGGTCGCCACAGTGGCCTTCCACATTTACTGAGCCTTTCTCCAGTCCCAGCTGCCCCGGCCCCACTCACCTTCCCCGAGCCTGGTCTCTTTCTTGCCTCCAGTGCCTAATGTTAGGAAACAAACTTGGGAGTACCCGATGTCTCTCTACTGACCCTTTGGACGATGATTTTTAAGTGCATCTATGGCAAGTGTGTGCTCTGCAGGGTGCTTGGGGGTTCTGCAGTTTTTGGACTCTGAGTTCATTTATAAATATATTTGAGGGGCGCCTGGGTGGCTCATTTGGTTAAGCGTCTGCCTTTGGCTCAGGTCATGATCCCGGGGTCCTGGGGATTGGGCCCCACGTCGGGCTCCCTGCTCAGTGGGGAGTCTGCTTCTCCCTCTCCCTCTCCCACTGCTTGTGCTTTCTCTCTCTCTGAATAAATAAATAAAATCTTTTTTAAAATATGCTCAAAATATATATATATTTGAAATATCTCGAGGAAGGTATTGGGTGTGGAGGCAAGAGTTCTAGGCCCAGTAGTCATGAGACCTGGTCTCTCAACCCAGCCTTGCCTCTAACCAGCTGCGTGATGTCAGGCCATCTGGGCCACATCACCTGGAAACTCCAGAGTCCCTGCCAGCCCTCAGCCTGTGGACTTGGCCCCAGTGCTATAAATCCTGCACAAGAACAGAAATCCTAGAGCCAGCCCTAGCTCAACAGAAGCCACCCCATTCATCTCCTTGCCTTGTCTTTTCTTTTTCTTTGCCTTGATTCTTACTCTAATGCAGAGCCCACTGCCCTCGCTTGTTCACATTTTCCTGCTGGGACCGGACTTGGGCAGGTAGAGAGAACAGCAGGAGAGCACACTTTTGAAAATGAAGGGGGGAGGCCCTGCCATGCAACAGGGCAGCAAGCCCCCGAGGGGTCCACAATGAGCGCCCCCCCCACCGGATGCCCTCCATCTCTGCAACAGAGCTCCCTGCTTCTCACAGGGAGGCCCGTGGGCTGGCAGAGTCAGCCCGTTGCAGACCTTCGCATCAGAATCTGCATTTTGACAGGATCACCAAGCGATTGTGTGCGTGTGACCTTCAAGTCTGAGAAGCCCCGGCCCAGCTAGGACTAGGCATCCTTCCAGCTGGAAAACCTAGCGACCACTGTGAGGGGCATGAGAACTGACATTTATTGACCCCCTTCTAAGTGCCAGGTACATTTTCAAGGGTAAGGGAATGGGAGACTCGGTGTTTATATGACTTGTCCAGGAAGTCCAACAGGATGTTGCCGGGCAGGGATCCCTGGCTCATGTCTGACTCCAAAGCGAGTGCTCTTTCTGTTACCTCTGCTGAATCTTCATCAGAAATCTGTCCTTGCTTGCTTCTGCGTGTCACAATGGATGGTCCAGTCACATTCAAATCAGTGTAGGGACAGAACTGTTCAATCTGTTTCAAAAGAAAAGACTAAGATAGAACTTAGGGTGTTGATTATCCTTCATAATGATTATGCGTATGTTTTGAATGTCCTAATTAGCCAAAGAATTTTTGGTGTCTATATAGAAGTATGTCAGCCTTCTGCAGGGTGGATATCGGAGAGTAAAATTAAAGTCGTGACCAGACTGGTGCCGGATTTCCTTTAGAGAACAGATGGGTGGGAGCCCTGGGGAGCGGGGGCTGGTGCTGCCCACTGTAAGTTGGACATAACTGCATCTCTGTCCCACACGTGGCTGTCCACCCAGACATTACATGGTGGGAGTCTCCATGGGACATCTGCTAGCTCTCCAAGCAGTGGTCTGTCCTCTAAGAGTACACATGGCAACACCATGGAAGTATTTCTTCTGATCTGGAGCCCCAGGCATTCTGATCTCTACCCCACCCCACCCCCTGCTTTTCCTGTCATCCTATTTCATTTCTTTGCTTACAGATGTTCTAGTCAGTGGTTTGGGAGGAATGGATGGAAAAAACATGCTGGCCAAGCATATGTCCCTTCAAGCCACCTCTTCCTCGTCCATAACTGAGAACCTATGACCATGAGATCTCAGGGAACATAGGACGGTCCCCCTACCCCCTGCCCCCAGCCTCCAGAGCTCCAGGGGACATCTCCAAGCTCTGTAGGAGGACCTTTCAATGGGACTTCTGGCCCCAAACCTCGGTTGGGCCCCTTTGGGAGTCTGATGAAAGCAAGCCCTTCTCCCACTCAAAAAAAAAAAATATATATATATTTCTAGAAGATTTACCATCCTCTTTCAGCAGATTTACTGACTGTGGAGCCAAAGTTGAGAACCCTGGCTCAAATTAGTGTGCATGGGGACAATTATCATTCCCAAAGCAATTAATGCCAAGATGAGGAACAGAACTATGTTCTTTGAAAGCCTTCACATGAAACCTAAAGACTGAACCCCTTAGCACCTTTCTTGCCAACCAGACATAGAAGAAAATGCCCTGAGTTGTCCTCTCTCGTATGCATCACGCCCTTGGTCGATGACCCTGCCTCTGGCCCAGGGAGCGGGGCCACACCTGTTTAACTGGCACGTCATGTCACAGGTCCAACAGGGCCCAGACGGAGCTGGGCACAGAGCAGCTCTGTCCCTGCTGTGGTCTGAAGACGAGCCCTCGCACCGCAGGCAGCCCCACGAGAGGCGCTGGGAGCCAGCAAGCAGGTACCCGGCACAGGTGCCCCCCTAGCGAGCTGGGGACAGCCCTGCTACAAAGGGGAGACTTCCGTTTACTCTGCCCGGCTCCCATCATGTGCAGAGCAGGCTCCATGTTGGATCAAAGCCCCACAGATGCGATGTGGCCTCTGGGAGCCAATTTTAGGCCCTCGTCACATCCTTAGGACTTTGTTCTGGCCGGAGGGCTCCCAGCACGTGGGGAAGGTGGGGTGGAGCGAGCGGAAGACCCTCGCCCTTCATGACAGCACCTCCTGAGCCTAGAACACACCCCCCATATTCTCGGCAATGGGGACAGGAGCATTGTCCCCACTGCAGCTGAGCATCAGCCAGGACTGTCCATTCTGGAGGCACCAGGGGATGAAGGGTAACAGCATCTCTACAGTGCGCACTGACTCTCTGATTTAGAGTTTTACGTGGGCCCCAAGTGACCTAGGATAACAAAGGTATACCCAAACCTGCCGTCCTCCTCTGGACTCACTTGGTCTGTCTTCCACGTATTCCTTCCACGTATTCCTTATCTCCTCCTTCCACTGACACCATGTCTTAGAATACTGAGCTCCAGAGTCTTCTGGTAGAAGGCCATCCTTCCTTTTCTCCAGATTACAATGACTTCTACCAAGTGTCAGGTTATTCTCTCTCTCCTCTTAGGTTCTGGAATTTCTTTCCAAGTTGTAATCTCCCTAGGTCCTACCCCATGGATCCAGCCCCCTCTTAGACTTCCAAAGGTAGGGACACCTCAGCGTGGAGAGGAAGTATACCCTCATCACCAATACGTGCCCTCCTGCCTTCCTGGGGGCCCCATCTGTATTTCCTGGGGGGCATGGGGGGCGGGGTGCCCCGGCCTCTACAGCCAGCCAGTGGGGAGGGGGACATGGCCCCGGGGGTGATGTCCACACCTGTCCCAGAGGTAAAACACGGGACTGCTGCTAGCTGGGATCAAGAGGCTCCAAACCAGCTCTTTCCCTCCTCGTGTTCGCGGGGGAAAAACTGAAGAGCTAGGGAAGACTCTTAAATCAAGTCTGCAGGAAGCAGGAGGAGCAGGAGAAGGTCAGCCTTACAACAGTCCCTCTGTGGACTCCGTCTGAATTTTGTTTAGACAACGGAATATAAACCCATTTCTCTTCAGTCTTTCCAGCTGGTAAACATGGTAACATAAACCCCTCTCTGAAAGATGCAGACATGTTTTAGGCAATGAGTCAGACCTCATGTCTCATCCTGCTCCTTCGAGAAGCCAAAATAGACGCATTCAAAGTCATCACTTCGACTTGCCACAAAATGTGTCCTTGTGAGTGTTCTCAGGGGGCCCCTGGCTCAGCATCACTTTACCCAGAGACATGAGCGACCTGGGAAAAGCCCAAGTTAGGAACTCCTGTCATTATTTTTAGCACAAGCAAACATAAGAGGAAGGGAGAAAGAGCCTCTGATTTCCTCTCCGAAAACCTATCGTCTTAATTCCCCCCTTGCCGCTGTCCTGACTGCCCCTACTCCCTCGGAGGGAGCCTGAGGCCGGCCCCGGGAGGCCTGGGGACGGAGGAAGGCTGGGGGTGGCAGCAGAAGAGTAGCGATGGTGGTGGTTATGAAAATACTACTCGTGGTACTACTGTTAGCAGAAGTAACGACGAGAGAGTTGGCAGGTGCTGAGTACCCCTCTGTTACAAGCCCCCTGGGAGGTCTTTCTGTGGTTTCTCTGATTCCGTCCTTCTGGGACCCCTAAGAGTGGGTCCTGTGACCATCCCCTCTTTCCTGAGGAAGCAGCTCAGCTAGTTTTGCTCCCCGAGCCTTGGGTGCCCTGTATTTCTGTTCTCCACTTGTCGCATGTCCCTGTGATGCCGGAGACGAGCATTTCAAACAGTTGCACACGCCAGTGATACACAGGCAGCCTGCAGCTCAGGCTGGGCCTGCCCACCCCCACCCCGCCCCGGTGCCTCAGGGAGGCCCCGACCCACGCGGCAGCCATCTTCCCCTGGTTTATGCTGAACCAAACACAGCACCGCTTTCCAAGAATTTGCATCTGTTCTCAATTCCTCGGGAGCAAGAGATGGGACGCTGTTACACAAGAGCGTGCCCTCCTCTGCTGTCGTCCCAAGCCCACAGGGATGCGCCTGCCACGCTCTGCTCCTTCCCAAGGGCCTGAGAGCCCCCTTTGCCCCTTTTGTCACGTCCCAGGCGAGGGGCACAGACTCCTGCCGCCCGCTTCCCATCTGGTGCCGTGGCCCGGGGCCTCCCGGCCTCGAGTCCGGGCTGTGGGAGGGTCTTGCCCGGATACCCCCTGCCTCTCCCGTGCCCACCCTCCCCGCCACGTCCCCACTTCAGAAAGTTTTCCAGAGATCTCAGAAAGTCACTTTCATCGGTCTGCAGGAAGTGTACCAAATAGGGATGGGCTGGGAGGGCCACCCCTGCGCCCAGGAGGGTTATAAGAAGCACTGACTACGGAGCTCTTCCCGGACGGCGCGCACGGCCTGGCCGGCCCTCTGCCCTGCAGCGCGCCTCGCTAACCCCCACAAGGCCTCGGGCGCCCCGGGCAGGCTCGTTCCCGCTCAGCCACTGGGAGGCCCGGGGCCTGCGCGGGCGAGCGGCCTCTGGCGGGGGGGCAGCACGGTTACCGCTTCTGCTCCTGCCCTCCCCTTCCTCAGGCCCTGTCACCCGCTCCTCTTGCACGGGCCACCCCTTCGGACCCCGCCGCTCGAGGCAGCTGCTGGTAGGCGGCACGGCTCCAGTCACTGACCTCTGAGCCCCGTCTCTCTCTCGCTCGCTCCAGGCACTACCACAGCATGGAAGTGTTCACCCACTATGACCTCCTGAACCTCAACGGTACCAAGGTGGCCGAGGGCCACAAAGCCAGCTTCTGCTTGGAGGACACAGAATGTGAAGGAGGTATCTTTGGGTGGGTGGCTTCAGAGGGACTCCCATGCTCCCATCTGTCCTGGAGCCCAGGCCTGATGCCGGCCTCTCACGCTGGCCACAGCTGACTCTCCTCAGGGCCCCCCGTGGCTATGCTCAGGGCTGGGGCATGCAGGCGGGGCCTGCTGTGGAGGCGCAGGACCCCCCAGAGTTATGCCGGGGGGCACTGGTGGGTCCACATGGCCCCCGTGTGGGGCCAAACCTGGACCGAGGTCCCCTCCGCCTCTCTCCCCGTGTCCCAGCGCCAAGCCCCTGCCCCACAGGCTCACGGCCCCCCGAGTCCAAGCCCAAAAGACCCGCTCTGAGGTTCCCGGGTCTCCTGACTCCCCCAGACAGAGGCAGCACTCTGCTCACATGTCTAGGAGGCCGCCACAGCTGCACGGCGATCACTGGTGGGCCCGCCTGCCACCCGACCTGCCTGGGGCTCGGGGCGACACAGTGCTGCTTCCCCATATGCCCCGTGCTTCGAGCAGTGCCCAGACGTGGCAGCCTCAGTAAATGTGTGTTCACTAGTCAGTCGTGGACATGCCACGCCATGAGATCAGACGAACCCATGGGTTTTGAGCACCTACTATGTGCCAGACAGCCAGCTGAGCCAGTAAGGGTCAGATACACAAACCAGACCTGAGCCCACATCCAAGTGCTGACTTGCCAGAGGGTGGCAAGATGACCCCCCACGTTAAGCTAAATATTAACCACCAGAGTTTTCCCAGATCACACTCCCTTCATTCCCAAGCTAGCGGGAATGCCAGAGTGGCCAGGAGGGCTTTGTGGAAGAGGGGCACTCGGCTGGCCCTAAAAGGACGGGTGGGATGTGGGTAGAGAATCTGGCAAGGGGTTCCGGGGACATGAGAACGGATCGGAAACCCACGCGGTGGGGACGGGACGCCAAGCCCAGATGAAGCAGGGAGCTGAGGGCTTGGGGGAAGGAAGAGATTTGCTGAGCGTGGGCTCTGGGAACAGCACCCCCCCAGCGGGGCTTCTCGGGGCGCGGTGGCGGAAGGGGAGCACAGAGGGCAGGCACTTGAGGCAGTGGGGCCAAGGTGCAAGGTGACCGGGCTTCTCTGTGCCCCTGCCTGCAGACATCCAGAAGAACTACGAGTGTGCCAACTTTGGTGAGCAGGGCATCACCATGGGCTGCTGGGACATGTATCGCCATGACATCGACTGCCAGTGGGTCGACATCACCGACGTTCCCCCTGGAGACTACCTGTTCCAGGTAGGAGGGGGGGTTCCAGCCCCGGCTGATGGCAGGAGGGCCCTATTCCCCGGTGACATGGGAGGCAGCCCCCTTCCTGCTGGTGTCCAAACCGAAACGCGTGCAGGGAGGCCAGGCTGTCTGAAGTGCAAGAGTCCTACACCCAGGGGCCGGCACATCAGGGTCAACCAGGTGACCTAGGTGTGGGAGGCATGCACGCCTGCGGGGCACTGCCAGCCTCCTGAGACATCTGCACTCAGTTAACACCTGGCACTTGCAAATCAAAATACATGTGCAGCCAGATCTGGTCCTCAGGCTGAGAAGCTGTTCCACAGACCCTAAGGCACCCCACACCCGCAGTGTCCTTTGACACAGGCTCTGCCCGCCCCCCAACCTCTCCCGGTGCCCTCACCCTGCCTCGTCTGTGCTGTCAAGGCCGAAAGCAATCTCATGAAGAGCCATTCACTCGCAAGTGTTTTGTGACTTGGGTCTCCCAGAAAAGTTGGCCTCGTGCAAGGGTCTGCAGAGGGGACAGTTCCCCTACCTCCCTGCAGACACAGTGGCCTGCTCCAGCCAGGGCCCTGACCAGCATGGGAGCAGGGCCGCCACATCCCCAGCCTCCCTGTCAGGACCACAGGTGCACTCGGGCCTGCGGAGGCTCCCTTGCGCCCTGTCATGTTCCTACACAGCCACCTCCTACACAGCCACCCGGCTTGCTTTCGAGCTGGCCCCACTGGGTGGCAAAGTGGGTGACCAGAAATGTGTCATTCTGCCTTGAAAACTTGCCCAAGGGGGCATTCAGCCAGCCCAGAGCCTGGCCCATGGTCCCCACCCTGCAGACGGCCCTGGGAAGAACCAACACCTGCAGAGAAGTGACCACAGAGAGGCTCTGAAAGTCTTCCTAGGCTGGAAATCAGACAGCCAAGCACTTTTCCACCCACAAACCCCAAACCGCAGACTTGGAGAGGCCCAACCAAAGTGCTCTTTATTTTAAAACCTGAATATCCATGTCTCTGTGCACGTACACGGTGCGTGGGGGTTTGTGTGTGAGGTTTGCTATCGCTCTGCGGGGTGAATGGGTATCATCATGGGTCCTGACAAATGCCATCTATTTAATAATAACGATGGGTCACTGAAAGCTTGATGCCAGGTCTGGCCGGGCCTAAACCCTGTGAACGCAGGTAGCCCCCCAATGAGGGGCTCTACTAGTACTCCCATTTCACGGCCGGGCAAACCCAGATCACATTTGTGTTCCTGCCGCCTGAACTATACAATTTGCTAATTAACTCAATAGGAGCGTGTCAGTGCCTCAGATTAATGAAAAGAGTATTTCCCTTGGGACAGACTTGGAGCTTTAGCTGTTTGAGGGCCCTGGCCTGGGATTCACTGACCCTCTCCATTCCCACGTGGCTCCATGTGCAGATATTGGTAATGCTGCCAGGGGCGGGGGAGAGCCGGGTGAGGAGAAAGTGGCCTTTCAGGCAGGGGCGCCTGCGGGCAAAGGCTCAGAGGCAGGGCATGCGTGAAGTCACACCTCCAGGAGCACAGAGCCTGGTCCTTGTCCCCACCTCATCTCAGCACATCCTGCTCCCCAGCTCCCTTCTAGTTCCTATCAACAGCCTCTTTTGTGGCCTCCCTGGGCCCCAACTCCTGCCTCTACTAACCTCAAGCCTCCGAGGGCCCCCAGGAGAGGGTAACCGCTTTACGAAGGCCTCCTTGTGGGAAGGGGTATGTTGTGAATCGCACAGAGGCCGACGGCCAGGGGCGCACACTCTCATGCCCCCGGGCCTCGCCCCCTCATCTTGGGCCAGTCCTGCCCCAGCACCGGCCATGCTCCCTCTCACGAGGTTGCCCCGGCTCTGGAGGCAGGGCTGGTCTCGGCGGGGTCCAGGCCCCGGCAGGACTCAGCGGCCCACTCCGATCTGCCTCGCTCCCAGGTCGTCATTAACCCCAACTACGAGGTTGCGGAGTCTGACTACAGCAACAACATCATGAAGTGCAGGACCCGTTATGACGGCCACCGCATCTGGATGTACAACTGCCACATAGGTAAGGGCCCCGGGCTCTTGGGGGGTGGGGGAGCCCCCAGGCCTGCCAGGTACCCCCTGCAGCCCACCCTCCGGGAGACAGGCAAGAACTGTCCTGCTTTGTCGAGGAATCCGAGCAGCCTCCTAATCTCGGTAAAGAGCGCAGAGACTGGAGCCAGCCTCCCATTTGCACACACAGGAAGGAAGCTGTAGACACATGAGGCCTGGACGGAGGCTGCGTTTTCACAGCCAGCTCTGGCCAAGGAGGGCGGCACCCCGCCGGGCTGGAGCTGAGGCCATCTCCTTGCTACGCATGTGACCTCAAACATGTGGGCGTCAGCAATTTGTGGGTTCTGTGTATCGTTTTCCTCTGTTGCAAACTAGAAGCTAGTCAACCGCTGTGGCTCCTGGTCGCCAATAAAGAAACTCTCCCTTGCATTATACACACTGGGGAACAAAAGGGGAAACAGGGCTTCCTCTCCTGCAGGAAAAGCGATGGCCCCCCACTCCCTGGATGGCAAAAACTAAACTCGCTAGGGTTAGCCACGCCTTTGCTCAGCTCTGAGAGAGCACCTGACCCGTGTGTGGCCCTCGGGGTGGCCAGCACCTAGTGGCCACCCTCGGGGCGTCACACAGAGGTGGCCCCAGCAGGCCACCTGGTGGAAGGTGGTGACTCCAGGGCCCCTGAGGCCAACAGCTCCAGTGTGGGAGAAGGCTGAGCATCTGGTTTGCCAAACTCTGTCTCCCCCATGCCCACCCCTCAGGTGGTTCCTTCAGTGAAGAGACGGAAAAAAAGTTTGAACACTTCAGTGGACTCATTAATAACCAGCTCTCCACACGGTAAAGCACGAGGTCACCTCCTGTCTTCGGGCCGCAGCGCATCTTCCCCGACAACTGCAGTCTGACGGATGGCCACCCTCCCCCCTCGTCCAGCCCAGCCCCTGCCCTGTCCCGACCCCCGGCGGCCACGTCCAAGGCTCAGGGGGATGCAGTGTGCCTGTCATCTGCTGGGGGCTGCTGCCTGACCTCTGGAGCCTGGAACGACCTGGGAAGACCTCCAGGGTGGGGCCTGACGAAAGGGTCGTGGGCACCAAGAGCCATCTTGTCTGGGACCCCAGGAGCACAGTCAGCAGCAGTCTGCTCCGCCGAAACCATGGACCACCCTGAGTAGGACACCACCCCACTCAACTCACGACAGATAAAATGCCACGTTGGTGGTGGGAGCTATCAACCCAAGGCGGTCAGGCTGAATTCCATTTTTCCTCCCCTTAGGTCATTTCCAGCCAACCTGAATATCTAGACCTCTCTTCCAATTAAACAAACCGCCTCTACTCTTATATTCACATATACAAATAATGCTGCCACGTGTTTTCTAATTAGGTGAGCTCAGAGTTGGTGCTTTCCCTCCCCCCTTCTAAATCCTCTTACAAGATACATTATATTTTCACAGACTTTGAAACACTAAGTAATTTAGTGGCATTTAATATTGGGCATCTGGGCCTCTGAAAGTATAGCTCAAAAGAAAAACCAACCCACCTGTGTAAGTGACTCATCTTTCTGTTGTTCCAATTCTGTGGGTAACTGATTTAACGGTGCTATAACCAGGGTCCTGGGTGATAAGGACACCCACCGAGCGCCATGTGTCATCACAGACACTTACACATACTTGAAACTTTGAATAAAAGGTTTATGATACGCATCTGTGTTTCATTTGGGCCCCTGCACCCAGCCCTGAGCAGCAGAGCTCCCGTGGGTGGTAGGCGAGGAGAGAGCCTTACACACCCTCTCAGGTTCACGCTGCAGAGACAGGTTCCCGGGGCGCCTGCAGTAACCACCACAAAGACCGACTCCTGCCTTCCGACAGCAGCAGTCTAAGGATCACAAAAAACGCCAAGTCCTGACCTTTCCTGAACTCGTGTTTTTCGTGAGTCTGTCGGGGCACGGCAGCTGTGTGAGGACAAGATGGGACATCCAGATTTAGATTTAAACCGTCTTGGGAGGCGCCCACAAGGCCAGCTGCCAGGCCAGGCTCTGAGGGGGGCAGTGATGCAGAGCGTGCGCACCAGCACCAGCAGGGGTGAGCTCTTCCCAGCGCGGGCAGGGTGGGCAGCCAGGGTGGGCCACTCTCACCTGGGCACGGGGGCTCCCCCTTGTATCAAGAGCATGCTGCGGCCCAGCAAATCGGAAAGGTCCACCATGACCCCAGAGCACCAAGTAGGGCCGCCTGGGCACCGATTACACCCAAACCAGAAACAGGAGTGACCCGAGACCTTGTCCCCAAAGATGCCCTTGTCCCTGTGAGGGAGTCAAATTCAGCAGCCATTTCAGGGGTTGCCTCTGGCTTTGTTCGTGGTTACAGAATTGCACAACAAGGCCTTCTGTAACCCACAGCAGCAGGTTAACACTGGGACCAGGTCCAAGGGTTGGTGCCCTGCAGCACGTGACAGCAGGTTAGGATGCCTATCAGGAGACTAGGCAGGTGTCACACAACAGGTGCAACCTGCTCCCCCCACCCCAAAACTGGGTAACCCCTGGGCAAAAATGCCTTTGAGGCCCTGCTGGGATCCTCCAGGCCAACCAGGAGGACCCATTTCTTCAGCAGCCCCAGGTCTAAAATGGGAGACAAACAGCACCCCCTAGTGTTCCCTGGCAGACCATTTCATTTTGAAGCAACTTTCAAGTTTTTATTTTTTTCTCAACTCCTACAACTAAACCAAACGAAAGCCCACCACGCCCCATAGGGACACCCTAACAAACCGCACAGGGCTATTCTGATGTCTGTAAAGGCTCGTGGTGTTGAGGCACCAGCCTAGTCCTGCGGGCGCCAATCCAGGCTTGCTGGGCCTCTCAGGGCCTCAGGGAGGTAGGAGACTCAACTGCAGGCCGCTCTTTCTTCTTATGTTGGAGCCCCAGGGCCCGGGCTACCAGCCTCCTGGCCACCGCTGTATTTGTCTGTGGTCTCGCCTTCACCAGACGCAGGAGCTCTAAAAGGAAAGCCCCATGGGATAAGGACTTGAATTCAAAGCTATGGCCACCACTCTTCCCAGCGGACAGCCAACCTCTAAGACCCAGCTGTGCCCACAGCATGGCCAGATGCCCGTGGAGTCCTCGCCTAATCCTGCCACCTCTCCGTCTTCCCTGTTTGGGCCACTTGGGAAGGAAATCAAGTCAAGATGGGACACCCGGAGCTCTTGGACTGACAGGAAATTTACTGTCCTCAAGTCTGGGGCAAAGGCTACATGGGCCACAAGAGCATCAGATGGCCTCAGCAGGCCTCTTCTGGGCCAGTCTTGCTAGCCACTGTGCAGCCACAGAAAACTGGCCTCTAACACCCCAATCATGCTTTCGGGAAGCACAAGAGGAAAAAGGAGCTATCATTTATTTGGCACCTTCTGTGTGCCCCTCACTGCTCCAGGCAGGTCTGCCAGGCTGTTTTATTCACCCCTCCAGTCTACCCGGTACAATCTGCTCATTCTACAGAGAGAAGAACCAGCTCACAGACATTAGGTGACCTGCTCAAGGTCAACTTAAATAGGTGCCAGAAGCAGGATCACACCCAGGGCTGACCCCAAAATCCAAGCTCTTCTTACCCCACTGTAAAATATGGTTTCCATGGCCCTACAGGAAAGACCGAGCTTTTCCCTGAGCAATACCCAGAAGAGGTAAGCACAGGAGGGCAAGACCAGAGCACAGCGGCTGGCAAACAACTCTCCCTAATGGGGCCCTTCTTCCCTAAGCATCCCTGGGCCCCTGGGGTGTGGGAGGAGCACCCCTTTGGCCACGGTAGCCTGGCGGTCCTAAGGCGTGGAGCTGAAGAACAAGCAATGAATCTGAGGGAAGGCCCCACCCTGCCCAACCACTCATACGCTCACACAGCCTTCCCATCAGGACACAGCTGGCCTCCTTACTTGGCCTCTGCAAGGCTTTCAGCTTTGACTGCTTGGTTGCCTGCGTGAGGGGCCGGATCTTGAGCACAGAAAAATCCTTGGTCAGGGCTTCAGCAGCTATGGAAAGAAAACAGATCTGGAGCCAACCCTGTTCCTCCTGGTGAGGACCCATCAGGGCCAAGGAACGCATGTATCACCCCAAACTGACGGAGCTGCTCTGTGCACCCGTCTGAAGCTTGGGGACAGGGCTGCCCTGACACCACTCCAAATGGGCAAGAGACGACCGCCACCCATTCGCCTCATGCCCCCAGAGCCCCGCAGGCCTGCACGCCACACCCGTGCTATCAGATGGGAAGCTTCCAGGCTCTACCCTGGGCCGGTCAGGAGCCACACCAGCGAGGCGGCAACTGTGGACATCAGGGAAGGCAGGCTCCCACCTTCCAAAGCCCAGGAGTTTCAAATAAACTCTCCCCCTTCCCCACTCAAGACCCTCCCGGGGCATGCACTCACTGCCCGGAGCTGTGCTGGGGCCACGGGGCACTTGGGCTAGGTACCTGCTGCCGGACACGGCAGGTCAGAGCTGCAGGTGCAAGCCGCCCCTTCGTCCACGAGGACGCCAAGGCCCGACAGGACCTGCTCCTCACACACAGCGTGGCAGAGCTCAGGAGGCAGCCACAGCCATGCTGCACCCAGTGCTCATTCTTTCCACGGCACCCCGTGGCCATCCTCCCTGCCTGCCCTCAGTCAGCTCCTTCCGTGCGCCTGCAGCAGCCCCCATGCCCCAGGCTCCTGCTCCCTCAATGCCACAGGCTCTCCTGAGAACTCGGCCCGCACCAGCTATGGCCTCTCCCAGCTCTGGTGTTCAGAAGCCCAGCCAAGGGGGTCAGGGATCTTGATAAATACACCCAAAGTGAGCCACAGTGGGGCAGGGGCGGCTTGGGGAGTGGCCGAGAGGGGGAAGGAGCGCTGCGGTCATAGCCAGGGAGCTGGCTGACATCCCCAGATTCGACATTAAGAAGCTCTGTAACCTGGGACAGACCGCTGACATTCTGGAAACCTCGGTCTCAGAGTAGGTCTGACCTACTTCTTGAGGCTGCAATGAAAGCTGAGTAAAAATGCATCTGTTTGAACCATATGAAATCGCCAGTATTTTAAAGGCTTTTTACCCACAAAAAGAGCACGTTCATATAAATTTCATTTCACATGCAGAAGCACCCAGAGCTCAGCCCGTGACATGTGCTCAGTAAACATCACCGGACTCAGAAAACTCTGACCTGAAAGGCACTACCATGAACAGGAGAGGGTGTGAGCTGCCTGGCCCAAGCACCCCACTCTGCTACCTCTGAACTTCCGGACCAGGCGGGCTGGGCCGCAGGCTGCCAGGCCACTTGCTCAGGTGAGCCTGCACCCCGGACATGGGTGATTTTCCCTTGTCAATGGCAGTCAGAGAAGGGGCCAAGCCCACCGTGAAGCTGCATTACCTGAGGCCAGGCAGGAAAAGACACCGAGCGCGTGCGTGTCATCTACCCACTGAATCTTGAGCCCCTTCTCTCTGTGCCAGGGAAGAGGAGACAGAGTGAGTACAAAAGCAAGGGGCGAAAACCCTTTCTGCAAAAGGAGTGCCCTCCCACCTCCAATCCTCCAACACTATGAGCCCAAGACAAGTTCCTATCTCCCCTGCGAAGGAGACAACCCTTTGCAGCAAACTTTCTCAAAGACCACGCGGTTAGCTTCAGAAAGACAAATGTCACCCCTGTTGCCTGGTGGGTCCCAGATTCCTAGAACTGAGGAAGACCGGATTCAAAGAGCTCAAAGATCACAGTGCCAAGGGTGAAGAAGGCTCCACACAGGCACCGCCACAGTGAGGCCAAGGGCATGGGGTCCAAGGTGGAGACAAAAGGGTTTACCTGCTGGGGACAGGGGGCAGAACCTAAAATAAGCCTGTCAGTGTTACTGCTCCTGATCAGCTTTCTTCCCACTGCTCAAGCCACACTGAGTCTGGGGCTGGTAAGAGGCCAAAAGCAGTTTGAGGGTCCTGTTTCTCTGTGGGCATTGCCCATGCTGGCTGAAGGAGTCACAGGTGGCCCCAGTCTGGCTCCACCTTTAGGGAGCGAGAGCAGATG